TTCGTCGTGCAATGTTTTCGCCCTCTGGCGGAGGGGAGCCATTCTTACTGAGTATCGGGCATAAATGTAGAGTCGCGGCCGTAATATATCAAAGGTGTCTGGCAACAAAAATTAGATGTATTAACGCAACAACAGAATCAGTTCAGATAATGCAGATATTATTTTCAGTAATATATTTGTTTCACCTTAATTTGTTTTATTTTTGTTTCAAACTTGTACCCAAACGACATATCTTTTCTAACAGGAGGTATAATTTTGGATTTCAGCGAGCTAATAGCCAACATTAAATCCCCTAGCAGTCTTGTCGAATTGGGATTGTTACTTTGGAAGTTTTTATTTAAGCACTGGATATCTTCAAGAATTGACTTCAAAAATACAAATAGTTGATATCGTTGTGCAATTTGCATTAATTAAAAGTTTTGTGGCAAACTCTAAGAATTTTAAGAGAAGTCTTAAAAAACAAACATAAACGAGGGGGAACGTTGTGAGTTGCTGCGGACACCGCAACTCTAGAGTTATATCCGATACTAAGTCAGTATGGCTCTCCTCCGGCAGACGCCGCTAATATTTAACGACACGACAAAGAGTGCGTGCGAGAGAGACAGAAAATCAGTCTGAGCGTGACGTCGGGCGCTGCGTAGCCACTGCAAATTGATTTGTTCCTTTTGGCTATAAAAATGATCTGATCTGATCCAGATTCAGCAATCTAATAGATATGGTCATTATCTATGATTCTGCGTTTTTAGTTTTCTCAAATCTGCAATATTGTGGATGCAACAGATTTTCGTCCTTTGTGGGGGCGGATGGGGGTGGGGCGAAATTCTGAGATATACGTTTTATAGTGACATCTTAAAGGAGTGTGTGTACCAAATTTGGTTACTCTAGCCTTAATAGTCTCTGAGATTTGTGGTTGCCTCAGATTTTCGTCCTTTGCGGGGGCGGAAGGGGGTGTGGCGAAATTTGGACATGAAACGGTCAAGGTTCGATATCACAGGAGTGTGGATACCAAATTTGGTTGCTCTGGCTTTTATAGGTTCTGAGATCCTTGAACTCATATTTTGCAATTGGCAAAACCGACCATGAAACCTGTGTGTTAGAGTGAGACAGAGGGAGAAAGAGTGAAATTGTTTTCGTGATTCTGGCTATAATAATTATACGATCTGGTTCAGATTTTGCACTCTAGAAGATATAGTCATCTTCTACGATTCTGCGTTTTTAGTTTTCTCGTATCGTCGAAATTGTGGATGCCACAGATTTTCGCCCTTTGTGGGGGCGGAAGTGGGCGGGGCAAAGTTTTGAAATATTTTTGGAGCAGTGACATATCACAGAAGTCTGGATCCAAAACATCGTTGTTCTAGCTCTTATAGTCTTTGAGCATTAGGCGCTGAAGGGGACGGACAGACGGACAGACGGACGGACGGACAGACAGACAGGGCTCAATCGACTCGGCTATTGATGCTGATCAAGAATATATATACTTTATAGGGTCGGAAACGATTCCTTCTGGACGTTACACACATCCACTTTTACCACAAATCTAATATACCCCAATACTCATTTTGAGTATCGGGTATAATAAGGGAATTATGCCGGTTGCGGCCCTCTCTAGTTGTGGGCAACCATCACCTATGTAAACTTGGACAGCAAGAAAACCCTACTGATCTGAGTATTGTTATACCCAATACTCAAAATGAGTATAGGGGTATATTAGCTTTGTGGTGAAAATGGATGTGTGTTAAGTCCAGAAGGAATCGTTTCCGACCCCATAAAGTATATACATATATATTCTTCATCAGCATCAATAGCCGAGGCGATTGAGCCATGTCTGTCTTTCCGTCCGTCCGTCCCTATCAGCCCATAGTGCGCAAAGACTATAGAAGCTAGAGCAACGACGTTTTGTATCCTGACTTCTGTGATATGTCACTGTTACAAGTATATTTCAAAACTTCGCCCCGCCCACTTCCGTCTCCACAAAGAGCAAAAATCTGTGGCATCCACAATTTCAAAGTTACAAGAAAACCAAAAACGCAGAATTGTAGCGAATGCTCATATCTTCTAGACTGCAGAATTTGAATTGGATCGTATCATTGTTATAGCCATATGTAATTTTTTCTCGACCTGTCTCTCTCTCTCTCTAACACACACGTATCATAGCCGGCCTTGCTTAGCGCAAAACATTAGCGCCTAGATCTCAGAGACTATAAGAGCTAGGGCAACCAAAATTGTGATCTACACTCCTTTGATATCGGAACTTGTCGAGTTTGTTTCAAAATTTAGCCACACCCCCTTCCGCCCCCGCAAAGGACGAAAATCTGGGGCATCCACAAATCTCAGAGACTATTAGACCTGACTGTAGAGCTCTCACTGTTACAAAACTATTTGTAATTTTTCACTGCAGAACTCACTGTTACAAGTGTATTTCTTTTTGCTCACTGTAGAGAGCTCACTGCTACTAGTGTGTTTAAAAATTTCGCCCAACCCCCTTCCGCCCACACAAAAGACTTAATTCTGTGGCAACCACAATTTTGAATATAGCAGAAAATTAAAAATTGCATTGGCTACGCAGCGCCAACAATACGCAGTAGCAAAAAAAGAAAATGTTCAGTAAAAAAAACAGTTTTTAAGTAAATATATATAAAACGAGGGGGAACGTTGTGAGTTGCTGCGGACACCGCAACTCTACGGTTATACCCGATACTAAGTCAGTATGGCTCTCCTCCGGCAGATGGCGCTAATATTTAACGACACGACAAAGAGTGCGTGCGAGAGAGACAGAAAATCAGTCTGAGCGTGACGTCGGGCGCTGCGTAGCCACTGCAAATTGATTTGTTCCTTTTGGCTATAAAAATGATCTGATCTGATCCAGATTCAGCAATCTAATAGATATGGTCATTATCTATGATTCTGCGTTTTTAGTTTTCTCAAATCTGCAATATTGTGGATGCAACAGATTTTCGTCCTTTGTGGGGGCGGATGGGGGTGGGGCGAAATTCTGAGATATACGTTTTATAGTGACATCTTAAAGGACTGTGTGTACCAAATTTGGTTACTCTAGCCTTAATAGTCTCTGAGATTTGTGGTTGCCTCAGATTTTCGTCCTTTGCAGGGGCGGAAGGGGGTGTGGCGAAATTTGGCCATGAAACGGTCAAGGTTCGATATCACAGGAGTGTGGATACCAAATTTGGTTGCTCTGGCTTTTATAGGTTCTGAGATCCTTGAACTCATATTTTGCAATTGGCAAAACCGACCATGAAACCTGTGTGTTAGAGTGAGACAGAGCGAGAAAGAGTGATATTGTTTTCGTGATTCTGGCTGTAATAATTATACGATCTGGTTCAGATTTTGCACTCTAGAAGATATAGTCATCTTCTACGATTCTGCGTTTTTAGTTTTCTCGTATCGTCGAAATTGTGGATGCCACAGATTTTCGCCCTTTGTGGGGGCGGAAGTGGGCGGGGCAAAGTTTTTAAATATTTTTGGAGCAGTGACATATCACAGAAGTCTGGATCCAAAACATCGTTGCTCTAGCTCTTATAGTCTTTGAGCATTAGGCGCTGAAGGGGACGGACAGACGGACAGACGGACGGACGGACAGACAGACAGGGCTCAATCGACTCGGCTATTGATGCTGATCAAGAATATATATACTTTATAGGGTCGGAAACGATTCCTTCTGGACGTTACACACATCCACTTTTACCACAATTCTAATATACCCCAATACTCATTTTGAGTATCGGGTATAAAAATGAGAATTTAATTTTGTTTGCAGGATTTCTTTGAATTTTGAGATTTATCGTCGTTTATCTAAAATGAATGCATCCCATAATTTGTTGGTCTCTTGGAAAAAAGGATGGGATTTCCGGTTCGTTGATGTTACCGGCTGTGGGCACCCTGGTTTTTATCCTATTTAATGCGTGTGTTTGATTGAGAAACTGCGTATACTCCTTTTATGTTAAAGTAACCTAGCGATCAGTAGGTGTTCATTCGATTCCATTCCTCATATGAAATACATCCCATCCATGCACGAATGACATGCAAGCATGGTCTTAAATAACCACCAACAGTTGTCAGTTGTTTCGTTCAAAACAATACGCAGCGTAGCACCGATAAGTAGTTTGGAATCGGCACCACAGGAAAATACAAATAGTGGAAAGTTTTTTCCGTCTGCATTGATGGTACTCATGCACAACAATAACAAAATTCATCGGAAGACGGTCCTTATCTGACAATATTATTAGTTATGTCTGCGCTCTGCAACTTATTCAGGTGTACGTTCTATACTTCTAACGGCTGCATTAACGTCATTGACAGGAATTTAAGCAGTGTGTTGTAGTGGAGGGTCCTATAATGGTTAATTGAGAGTGGAAGGAATGCTTCCTCCGCACAGCTAGGATCGATGCAAAAATGACATACTGGTGGAGGTGGTCATTATCTATGATTGAATGATTTTTCTGGGCGTGGAGAAAGCTTAAAATACACTTGCAGCACTGTGAGATGACAGGACAAAATCGAAAAAGCGATAAAGTCCACGGCGTGGCATACGGGTCATGGGTAACACAAGGCAAGCTCAGCTTAGTGTTCACAGCCAACCAACTAAATGATCTCGATAGCCCATGACATAGATACAAAAGACCTACATATACATGTACCTACGTATTTTTCTAAAATATCTCTGAAAATTCCATATCATTTGTATGGTATAGACAAGATTAATCCTCTGATAAGAGACCCTAAATAAACAGAACTGCGAAGAGTCCCAATTTGCTCTAGTATTGCTATTCAGTTCTAATGTCGTCGAACATGTTCAAATAAATTATTAAACGCTTCTTGGCCGCAACAGTCAAACCAAAATAAAGCATCTGACAGATCAGAATTGCGCTTGGAGCCATTTCCGCATTTAAATTAAAATGAATAATACACTTAAAATATGGCTATGCATGTGTTAGGTAAATATTGTAACTCTAAGAATATAAGTAAATATTTATCTTTGATTTAAATTACATTTGAATTCGATTGGTTCCATTTATTATATATTGATCGTTTTCATTTAATTGGTACATTTGTTGGTTACGTTGCTGACTTTACTCTATGAGAAAGCGCGCTTCTTAACATTAGGCTCGATCTCTCTCACTTTTTATATACTGCAATATATTCGATTTTCGACTAATTTATATGTTCGCTTGTAAAAAGTTATTGTAGCAAAAGGCAAAGAGGAATTTACCTAAATACATGATACAAAAAATGGGAGCACGTATTATAAGTTTTTGGTTAGTTTATGTATGCATATGGCGTTGAAGTCTGTTTGATAGCAGGATCAGGAAGCGATTACGAACACATACAAAATAATTTATATACAGTTGTGCATAAATAAAGTAGATTATACTATATGTAAATGCTAAAAAATAATAAAATTTCCTTTAATACAAAATTAATGAATAATTAAACCATTTTAAAAAGTTAACAACAATTTGGGTTGGGGCGGCCTTTAAAAAATTAAAGATTCCTGACAGCTGGCACTTGCGTTCGTTATATGGATATGTGCAGTAAATATGTAAATGCATACACGACATATTTTTATATGTGTACATATGTATGTATAACTATAAAAAGATTGTCAGTCTGGCGCGAAACCCCTAGACCTGGTTCTGGTTCTTGTTCAGGACTACACCGAAAGAAGTTGATCGAATTGCGAATAGTACTACTGCAGCATCAAAGCATTTAAATTACGCTGCAATATCGTATCTTTGACCGAATTGAACACAACATTGATGTTGCGCGTATCTATGGCAGTAGTGAAGTGATGGTAGATCCGACTGGTGCTGCTGCTGCGGCGAACGCTCATGAACATTTGCAGTATGAAGTTTTGGACGTCCAAAAGGGAGTGCGGATTCCCATTAAATTGCGGATAGTACCAGCGTATATCAGTCTCTGGATTGCGTACTTTCTGTTCAAGCAAATCCGTTTTGTTCAGAAATAATATAATTGAAATACCTTTGAAGGTGTTATTGTTGACAATGGTATCGAATATGTTCTTTGACTCCTCAAGGCGATTGGTTTTTCTATAGATTGGAATATAATATAACATTTAGTTTTTCTTTGATGTTCGCTTAATATTTGGAACAGTTCATATGTACCTGTCTTCGGCAAGAACCTGATCGAACTCTGAACTAGATACAAGGAATATAATTGATGTGACGGATGTATCAAAGCATTTTGTCCACTTCTGGCGCTGCGTCCGCTGGCCGCCCACATCGACAAACACAAATGGAATGTTCTGCAATTCACAACGTAAATACATGCGTCCTGGCGAAGTAAACTAAATCTATGTCTCGTAGAGTCTCACCTGCACTTTAACACAAAACTCGTAGACACCCTTGGTTGCCTTGCGACAGTGCAATATATCTTTGTTCGTGGGGACATAATCCGGTTTGGCCAGCCGGTCGATTTCGTCTAAGAAATAGCTAACGGAATCGCTCTGCAAAATGCATAAAGAGCCGGATAAGGAATATAACATTCAGATATAATAATAAAAGCTACAGTAAAAGTTTACAATTTGAAATTCACGCCGTCTTTCGTAAGCTCTTCTAATGCCGCGATCCTGCCAAAGGCGGCGTATTAGCGGTGCAAATTCCATGAATCTGAGGGCCTCTATGGCGTTGCATTCCATTAATTTGGCATCGTTAGCGTCCTGCTCGCGGCCATCGTTTCCCCAGGAGATGTCCAGTTTTTCCCGAGCGTCTAGCAGTACTTGCATTCCTTAAAAATATGTTTATTGGATTGGATCAACAGTATTGCACATATGTACATATACTTTTCCACAGACAGTTACGCACCTCTTATAACGTTTTGGTATATCACATGTTGGTATTCGCGCAGCAGTTCGGAATCAAAATTGACGCCGTGTATGATCCGCATTTGCTTGAGGAACGTTGACTTGCCAGACTCCCCAGCACCCAACAGCAGCAGTTTTACCTGGAATAAGACTTATCACTACCATATCCATGACTACAGGCGACAATGGCACCACATATGACAATAATTTAAGTCCCCACACCAACAAAAGCAAACAGACGATTGAGTTAATTGAATGGCTTTTGTATGAGTATAACTTCGTTGATGACTGGATCAAATGATGCAACAACAAAACCCAGAGGCTACATTCGGAGTAAAAGCCAATCCCCGCGGTACACAACAACGGAAAGTGAAAACTTGGTTGACGAATTTTTTTTGCTTGCTGTCAGAGAGGATATCTGCTGAAGGGAGCTAAGTCGAATATGTTTTTGGGTATACGCACATGCATGCTAATTAAAAGACCAATCAATATAGGGACGGGACTATAGGGACTCCGGGCTTTTTTGGGGTTCAGTTGGTCGATTCCAAGTCCAAAATATAGCTTACCTGCCGCCGAAATGTATGTTTCTCCTTCTCCAAAAACTTATCAATCTCTTTGGATTTGTAGCGCTGTTCCAGCTCCTCGGGCGTGCTGCGCAAGCGCACCAGATAGGTGAGAAAGTTGCCGCAACATCGTAGGCAGGCAAAGCGCGAGGTTTGCAGTCGGCTGCCCTGACGTCGTAGTCGTTCCGCACCATCTGATATCAGTCCGCCCGCAGGCGTTGTCGCTCCTCCTGCTCCCGCTCTCGGCTGGTGCTCTTCCATAAGATGTGTCAGAGTTCCTGTGCGGGTATCGTTGTTGCTGTTATCGCTGCCGCTGTTGTTGATACCTCTGCCTGCGTGTGTTAACGTGGTCAATGTAATTCTGGACATGGCTAGCCAACGCCTGACGTGCACACTTTCTACACACACACACGGACGCGCTAGACACTCACACATGCAGACAGCTGCTGCAGCTGAACGTTTAGTTGTTGTTGACTTCTTCCCTTCTGTGTGATATTGTAATTGTCTTATTGTTGCTACACACGCTAAAATTAGAATCGCTAATTCGTTGCGAGTTTATTGGTTTGGTTGTAACGTCGCCATCTCCAAACCATATCTTGACCACGACCACAAACCAACCGCCGCGGCAAAGTTCGCACTTATTTTGTATTTTAGCATTGCACCACTTCTCCAAAAAAGAAGAATCGACACTCGTGCACGATCGCACTCCACCAATTTACAACATAATTAACGGCTCCGTCGGTGATATTAATAATTTAATCAAATTATTCTATTACGCGTCTTTCACGTCACGTATCGCCAAAAATTTGTAAATAATTCGCATTTTCATGACATATGAGCAGTGTGACCGACCCTCCGAAATATACCAAAATATACGTCTTATTTTAAAAGTATACCGTAAATATACTGCCGAATTCAAGTTGTATTACACATACTTTTCGTTTTTGATATTCCGTCGAATATTACTAGCTAGATAGAAACCTCAGCCCTGCCCACATAATTTTATCCGATTAATGAGTCCATTTTCTACTTGACTGCCTTTTTTTAAATACTTGCTCCGTTGTCAAATAAATAAAACTTAAGAGAAAAATCGTTTGTCCGTTGAATAATACTGACGAGATGAACTAAAACCCTTAGCTCTGACCACGATTTTAGGCCATTGACGTATAAATGTTCTACAAGATTAGCTACTTTTAAGTAATATATTTAATTATTATTTTTAATTATCCAATTGTGTCTAAAAAATGTTTAAACAAAAAACCAGTGGCAACGTAAGTGTGTATGGAATATCACGTAATTTCTTACTTGTGGCTTAAAGAATAATTAATAAATACATTTTCTCAAATTGATATATTTTAGACCCCATTCATGAATTTTGATTAGTTTCCTTTGTATATATCCTGATCCCGATACTCCATCTTGGTCTCAGTAAGAAGACAGTGTGCTGCAAATTATCGTTAAAATACCTTTAAAACAGAGACTGACAACTTGTTTTGCAATGCATATTTTACGATTTTCATTGGCCGAAAGAAAAAATCGCGTCGTTCAGTTGGAAAAGCGTTTTTTTTTTAACAAAACCTGTTCCGTTAGTGTACGATATATTTAAACTTGTAGAAAAGGGCTATCAAATATATAAAAAAGAGGTTATTTTGATATATTTGATATATATTTTCCAATACCAATTTTAATACTCGTCCCTGGGGTCCGGTTAACTGACCAACATGGCAGAACCTGAAGAGCATGAAGGCGACCCATCACGTACATTTCTTGTTGGGTTGGGAAATTTCGTTTACAATGGTACAGCTTCATACCCGATTCAAAGAGAGCGAAAAAGAGAGCCTTTACCGATTCAAAGCAATTAAAAAGAGCCGAGTGGTGCGCGCCAAATAGAAATTGTTGGAAAGTGAATGAGCGAAAAGGTTTAAAATCCAATCCATTGGAAAAAATTATGCACGTAACTACGATGCGAGCGAAAATTCAAAAAACCTGCGTATGGAAGTTTCTATACCACTTGTTTTTCAAAATTTGTAAATAATTCGTATTTTCATGACATATGAGCAGTATGACCGACCATCTGAAATATACCGAAATATACAGTCCCATACCAATGAAAAAACCAACTTGGCAACCAAATTCTCCTCTATTTAAACAGATATTAACGACTTAAAGTAAATGGCGGAAAAATCTTTCCATCTTTCGTCTGAACTTAAAAAAACCACTATATATTTCACCTGAACTGCGCTAAATTGATTCAATTTTCATTATTTTCGGTGGCATATTAAAATACAAAACAAACGTTTTTGACGTGTTGCGTTCGAAGATGTCGATAGGCCTAGGGAATTATTTTTAGACACAGTTATGAAAGAAGATTTTCGATCTTATCCCATAACGGAGTCCCGCAGCCAACTCACCCACACCCCCAAAGAAAAGAGAGTGGCCAGCATCCCAAATGAACTTGGTCCAAGGGCAATAGAAAGGAACGCTGGGGATCAGTGGCACGGATGAATTTGATAAGCTAAGAAGGGGATCAGATAAAAAAAAACCCGCAACGGAGGCTCACGCGAACGCGTAGCCGATTGACTGAGAAATTGTTGCGAAGTTCGGTTTTGGAAAAAAAGGACCAGGATCTGGGAAAAAGCAGAACGTTTAGAGCTGACCTGCAGGTTTAAATGGGGGGAAGAGAAACCACAAAAACGAGAGAGTGAGAAAACTGCTGCACATCGCTGGGAGATTAAAAATATTCTGATCCGGATCTCAGGTAGGTGGCTACGTCGGAGGTAAGACACCGACCCTCAACATGGTCCACGTCTATGTTGAGGGGAGTAAATGTACGATTTTTGTCGAGTAGAGTCCGTTTGTCCCCTTTTCGGTTATTTTTGTTGTTTCAATTGTCCGAGATAGTGCGACCTGAGGGCTTGGGAAGCACCCAGCCCTGAGAGCACGACTCTTTCGAAATGCTCTCGAAGGAATTAATTAAGGAAGTCTTGAGGCGAGATACCTTTTATGCCCTTGAAGATGAAATATTCCAGTTTTTATGGAAGCTAGTCTAGTCTGCACAGCTCTGAACGGTTTTTCCTTAAAATATACTTTTTATTTTGATAAAATATATATATCTTACCAAGTATGTATAAAAAAAAACATCATCGGAAGGAGCTTGGTGAACTGTCTGACAATCCGGATAATAAAGAGAAGTCACTTCGGAATATATATGACTTGCTCTAATTAGACTGGGCAATGGTAGCATGAGATTGAGATTGTAGACCTGGTTGATTAGATCACATACCCATACTTAGAATTAGCAAAATATCCCCAAAATTTGTTTCTACAAATTTAAAAAAAAAAACGCGTTTTGATTACTTTTGCACTTTTATAATTTTCACTCGGCATCTACACCGCCAACCTATTTAAAGAAATATATGTATGTCCTTTCATCTGAATTTGTATTACTGTCCTTACAATGGCTATACCTGGAAATCTATTAATACAAATTAAATTGTTCTACCTATTTTAATGTTTCTTCAACTTTTGCACTGTTATTTTCTCGAACAAAATTGTTTATGATACATACAAGTATATGATCATATTATATATTTTAATTTATAAGAGTGCTGAGTCGTTCATCTTTTCCATTAGGCGGATTTAAGTCTTTCAACGAGAATACCCCGCTTTAATGCTCACGACGTGCACATAACAACCACGAATATCGCGAACATCTACTAATTCAGAGCGAACTCTTTTCGAGTGGAGGAAAGACGAGCGTACTATGTTGGATGAGGTGGGAGACAACTTTAACGAGATAATCGATGGGGACTATATCTTCGGTAGTAACCAGAAAAAGGAGATGAAGAACATTGTAACCCTGCCACAGGCTTTTGGCGATTTCAGAAGCGGTCTCGAGATTTACCCCAAAAGCAAGGTGGAACCATGTGCTTAAGGAAACTAGGCCTTTTTCCATGGCAGGTTTTTTATTGATTTGCTAAATCTAGGCAGACCCGTCTGCAGATGAATTGCTAAGTTTAATTGAATATTAGTATTACAAGTAAAGTTCCACACACTTCATATGTTTTCACATGCAAAACCACCGTCTGCGGATGAATTGCTTAGTTTAATTATATATATTATTTTGGAAGTAATTTTAAGGGAACATCATGATCTTCACATATGTAAATAAATGAGTTTCTAATTCAATATTTGTATTAAAAAAACACTCCGAACATTTGGATAGAGATGGAGACCATCTTCTGAAGAAGCATTCTTCGTAACAAACGTCATTACTCTACGTATCGCATTCCTTAATATCCAGTTGACATTAGATTTTGCCAACTGACTGACTGCAAAAACAGAGACAGACTTATAAGAAAAGCATGTAGTGAGAGCGAGAGAGAGCATATGCGTCAGAATGGCTTTCAGTTGAGAAGAGAAAAGCTAACTCGGCAAAGTCGAACTCCTAACAGCTATAACCATATAGAGATGTAACTGTTCATGCAACGGAAATGTACCAAAGGAATTAGTTGGATTGTGTGCCAGGTCTTCGGCTCTAGGAACCGACGCGTTCGGCTCTGGTAGGCTGTCCCGTTTGTTCGGCGACACGAGTCGCATCATGTCATGAGCCAGCCAGCCCAGCAGCCCATTTGCGTGTGTTCTTTTAACTTTTAGCGTCTGATACGTTTCTATTTTGTCTGTTCTAGCGTATTTTAATGTATGCGTGGACACAATAAAAACTGAAAATTCGTGTTTCGCTTTTGTTTCCAGTTTCTACCAAATCTACGATTTTACCTGACCACCGTGTTGGGAGCGTGGGAAATAAATACAAGCAGTTAGTGACAAAGTCTAATGTCATATGGCCATATTCAATTCATACGATACTCAAAGATCGCTCCTCTCTAATACCGGTTTATGACAACTCTGGAGAGCGGGTGCCGTTGTTTACGTTTTACGTTTGTTTTCCTATTGGCAGTGTGACAATTTCGCTTGCACGTAATTAATTCAGTCAATTGCTTAAAATGTTTATAAATACTGGCAAAGCTTCTATGGTGTATGCAGTACGCTTACCTGGCAGCGGAATACAGAATTTAAAGAGATACACAGGTGAGTTAAGCGGCAGTGGATTCTTGTCCAGAGGTCACAAAGTTTAAAATCATTACACACATACACTCGCACGGTCCATTGGGCAATCAGTTGGCAGATAATAGAATCAGCCTCGACAGATGTCATAGATTGAAATTAACTCGCAGACAAAGTAGGAGGTACATATGTATGTACATAATATGTCTGCATGTGTATATTCAGCTGAACTTTGTACCCTGGTCTGCTAAACAGCGCAGTACCTCTAAAATAAAAATATTTTCGAATATTAATTATCCTTACTGCTTATATAGCCGTTCAACCTTTTCATACGAGCTCTAAAATACAAAATTATGCCGCCGCTGCTGCTCTCCCTCTCCCGATCAACGTGGATGCTGCTGAGACAACACGCTTCTCACCACAGCGCTCCAGAGACATCACTTGCACAGTAATGATGGCACAGGCACCCATCTCAACCATCGACATTACCACGGATAACAGCAGCAGCGCCAGCCTGTCCGGTTCAGGGTACCAGGATCCCCATGTCCAGTCGTACGACTGCTTCGGATCCATCAGCCTTAATTCGGTGATGCAGAGCAATGTTCCCACACCATTTGGAGGAATGCACAAGTTCTCGCATCTCAACATGCCTGGAGGGCAGTGGTCGCAGGAATATAAGTTTACATCGCAGAACCTCCATAGCTCCCATTACAGCTCTCTTCGTGATAGCGCTCGTGCAGATTGGGGAAGCTACGATCAGAATGCAACCCTTGGAACCAGCAGAGGTGAGCATCCTTCAATCTGTTGTTTAAATTGAATGATTACTTGCATGCCAGCAGGCGCTTACTAACTTACTAGTTGTACATATTTGATATTTCATTCGGGACATTTCTAATGATGATCATAAAACAAAATCGCTCGCATGCGTGGCTCATGTTCTGTAGGCGTTTCTACCCGACGCAACTATAGTACACATTCTGCGCCACCCTCTTCCGAAACGACTCCACCGCCGGCGAGTTCAGCAACAAAAGATCCCCCAACGGAAGCTAAATTGACGAAAAAAGAGAAACTGAAGCAGGCGTTCAAGGAGTATGGCACTACCATAATAACATTCCATGTGGGCATCTCTTTAATTTCGCTTGGAGGCTTCTATTTACTGGTGTCCAGGTAAGGCGGTAATCACTCGCTCATTTGCATTTGCCTGCTTTTAACTTGTTCTTTAAGGCACTAAAAATACACCAACTAATGTGGTTTTCCTTCCTTTCAGTGGAATAAATTTGGTGCCCGTTCTGGAATTCCTCGGAATTACCTCAACTGCGATTGCGGAGAAGGTGGCCACTGGCAGCACCTTTGTGGTGGCCTATGCCGTTCACAAAGTTTTTGCTCCTGCCAGAATAAGCATTACGTTAGGCGCCACTCCATTTATTGTACGCTTTCTGCGCTCAAAGGGATTCCTGAAGTCAAAATCTAACAGCACTTAGTGCCATTCGAAAACATATACAACATACATACATACATATATATCCTCGTTATCAGTATACCATGATTTATACATATTTTATCCCTGCATGCAAGGTGATCGTTATTCGCAGAATAAATAAATAAAAAAAATAAAAGCAAGTGGCTATCCATTCAAACCTTTAACAATAGTGTTCAATGGAATTCTTAGAATTCAAATCAATTTGATCCACGTATTCGCTGTCCGTGGATACTTATAGTTTTCTTCCGCCTGCTACAGACATTTGCACGAACGAAATATAAACCGAGACCATACTCAGTTCTGGGCACTTCGGCATCAAAGACAACAATAAAGAGTTCAAATAGATATGTATTTCCCTTTTTTCAATTATATTTTTTCTCATTTTTTTAGTTTTTCTTTTGTTTGGCATATTTATAGAAAAAATAGTTATAAAACTTTAGCTTTCTCCTCTGCTACACACTTGCGATTCATCGGTATCATCCGGGCTTATGTTTATACTGCCTAGACTATAAATATATTGGTATTAAGTAAACAATAATTGTAATAGTTATACAATATTAAGTTAAGACTTATCAGCTAGACGAAAAAGATGCTGGAAGAACCAAATTAACAGTTTCCAAACTTTCAATGCACTCTTCAACTCCTGATCCTGATTTTCCTGATTAGCTAAACTCCTCCTCCATCACTGTTTGTACGCTGTTTAAAGCTTAACATCTAATTGTAATTGTACGTTATCCCCGTTCAGTAACCGTCGACAGCTTCCTCGTCGATTTGTGCCTCGAGTTTTTCCTCAGCTTTGGCCTTGCGTCGCTCTATCCATGGCATGAAACTCCACAGGCTGGCACCCGCGAGTAGCGTTAGTCCCAGGGCGTGGAAGAGCGGATTGTAATCGTCAACGGCCTCGTACCAGTAGTTGCACAGTGGCGGGCCTACCAACTGAAGGATGCCGTTAATAAAAAGACTGATGCCATAGGACGATGTCAGGCGTTCTGTGCCAAGCATGTCAGCCATTATGACCGCGGTGATTCCCACATAGATTCCGGAAGCGAGGCCAAAGAGGGCACACCAAAAGCAAACCGTGCTGTAGGAGGAGGCAAATGGCAGTAGCGTGAGGGAAAGACCCGATATGGACAAGCCGCCCACAAAGTACCAGGTCTTGGGAATTAGTCCCATGTCCGAAAGAGCTGAGCCGCCAATACGGCCAATCAGGTCCGTGGCGGATACAACAGAAAGCAGGTAGGCCGCCAACGATTTATTGAAGCCCCTGTCAGCGCCAAAACTGGGCAGCAAAATGATGAAGTTGGTGTAACTGATGGCATTCGTCGAATTGGAGATTAATATGACCAAGTACATGGGATCTTTGAGCAGGCTGAGGTCGAAGAACTTGGATCGCTGCGAGGACTGCGTCTTTCCCTGAGTGTCGTCAGTTGCCTGGGCCTTGTCTTGGCCAGTTGTGTCCACTGCTGATCCATTGCTACCTACCGAGCGCAGCGACAAATGCGATGAGAATTCCTTTGGCTGAAAGGACAACGTGCTGCCGTGGTACGGTGTGCTGATGTACAAGAAGCTGCTTGTCGAAGGCGACCGCTTCGACAGTCGGGACCTCGACAAATTCCTCAGAGTGAGCTTGGAACTGGAGCGACCTTCGGGCACGGCGTACAGCGATGATTGCGAATTCAGTTGGCCCGGCGTGAATGTCTGATTTCTTTGGGGCAGTCTCACCGGCGTGCTGATCTTCCTAGTGCGAGGCTGGAACTCATCGCCGGGCTTTGCGTAGCTCTGGACTACGGCCTCCGAGGCACTTCTCACGAACTGCTGCTTGTCATCGTCGGGCAGATAGAGCGGCGATGGTGGCGAATTGTAAGGCAACAGCTGCTTGTCAGACTGCTCGTGGTTGGTTGCCGTTTCATCGACATTCTCGAACTTCATCACTATTCCGATGTCTTCCTCCTCGGGTATGTCGTCTAGTGCCTGGCGAGCACGGGGCACTCGAACCATGTGCTGTTCCACGGGCTCGTAGAACAGGGCAGCCACAAAAACGTTCAGTGTGATGCCGCCCATAATCAAACAGGAGCCATGGTAGCCATAGGTCTCCAGCAGCCAGCGCAGCAGAGGCGGCAGAATAATGCTGCCCAGAGCACTGCCCGAGATGCACAGACCGTTGGCCAGTCCGCGCAGCTTTACAAAGTAAGACGTTACAATATACACTGTGGGCGGAAAAGATAGCCCAGCGCCAATCCCCACCAGGACTCCATAGCTAAATGACGGAACGACAGAAAATACTTCAGTTTTGGAAACCAAATGTGATTCGATTGGCTCACCTGATATACAAATACTCAACTGACGATGCCCAGAAGGAGAGTATCATTCCCAGAGATGCTGACGCTCCTCCCAGCAGGGTGACCGTCCGATATGAATACTTCACAGAAAGAATACTCGATACAGGTCCTGGAATGAGCAATCAGACAGTGAAAAGGGACACGTGACAGCTGGAAACTTACCCAACGAACTGTAGAGGAAGTAGCATATTGCCGGGATCCACGAGGCCTTTGTCGGAGTCGCATTGAACTCCTCTACAAACTCAACGAAGAGTACCCCGAAGCTCTTGATTGTGCCAGGAATGAGTATGTTGGTCAAGCAGGAACCAAACAGTACTAGCCAACCCCAGCCACCGTCGGGCGGCACCAGATCGTACTCCTCGCTGTCATCTTTCTTGTTGAGTAAGCTAACTGTGGGGCAGTCGAGAAGAGAGTTAATGGATTACTTAGAATGGATTGACGTTGCCTCTACTTAACTCTACTCAAGTGCTACATAAGTGTAGCAATAAAACAAAATCGCGAAGTTCGAGCCACTTACACGTCTATATCTTTCAAGAAATTTGTTTTCCGGCCAGAGGCCCGGCAGAATTACGCCTGCAGTGCAGAATTTATTTATTTTCCGGCAATCGTCGCATTCGAACGTGGGTTCATACTTTAACTAATCTAATAAATACAAATATTAGCGGTTATCCCTGTCCTGGTGATGGCGTTGATTGGTGATCCCAGGCGCGGATTCGAGTCGAGTTTTATTTTCACAGATACAAATGACCGACGTTAATTCTTGAATGTTAATGTCCTTGAAAGACAAGTTCTTATCGCCGAAATGTGATCAAATGAAGCATAAAATACCCTTAAATGGATCTGCTCACATAATCGATCGAGTACGCCCGATGCCCATCTTTATTGAACAGATTGAACCCATAGGTACTCCATAAATGCCTCCAATAACTCTTTCTTTTTATATTTATTTCTGTGTATAGACCATACATATATGTATACGATACATACTATACATATGGGTCCTGGGTTGACCTTGGCACTGATCAAGAACCTGTAAGCATTAGGGGTCGACGAGTCTCCTACATTCTATCTCACACTGCGAGTAAACGATAGAATACATATCTACATTATAGGTACATGCATAGGTTATGTATGTCTAAGTCTTTGTGGGTTTGTTATGACATGGATGTGATCGATGGAGGTCATCGATCAATAACGAGAACAAATCGAATTTAAACCCACGTACATACACCAGCCTCTTCAAGCAATCAAAAGCTGTATGGACTTTCGATGGATTGTATGCTACAGCCTTAAAGGTTTTTATTTTGTAAATGATGGATCCAGTGTTGATGGTTCATGTTGTTGTTGTTCTTTTTGTTTTTGTATAGTTTACTGACCTTTTTTATTACTATTTTCATTTTTGGCTCCATTTAACTTATGATCTTTGCTGTTTTCTTTCTGTGTACTTATAACTTTTTCCTTATGCATGGTCTGTAAGAAGAGAAAGAGAGAGAACATGTTTTTCTTGTTGTTTGTTTTGTTGGTGGGGTGTAATGAAAGCTTAAAAGCATACGTGGATCGTGTCTTAAGTCATGTTTTTCGGCTGGTGCAGGACCATGGTAAAGCTATAGCAGAAGGAAACATCAAGCACATTGGGAATTGAGGAACTCCAAAGCAGACATTGATTCATTGATTGGTCCACCGAATCTAGGAAAACTTCCTCCCACTCCCACATGACTGGTATTGAGAGGTGCAAAACAAAGACACTGCTTACGGAGGAGGGAGCTCCCACAGGTACCAGGTGTGATGAATGCTTAGTCTGCACTTACTCGAATACGTTTCGTATTCGTATATGCAAGTAATCTATATGCACCTTCTACTCCGGATTCATCATCTACGCAGCGTAACAAACTTTTATTCCATCATGACATTGCTGCTGATGTCCGTCGTACGCTCGAAAGATCTTCTCATGCCCGGTACGCAGCAAGTATGGATTTATCATTAAAAATAGCCGAGTCGATATCGTCATCGTCCGACTCAAAACCGAAGCGATCCCAGTATTGAGAGTGTGCCACAGCAGTGTAAGCCTCGGATATTGTAGGATTTATATGAAATTCGGATGAAAGGCAGCCCTTAATCAATTGAACTGAAACATCATTTTACACAACTCAGCCAAATCTGATATTAATCGCCAAGAATCCCACTGCTGGAGCCCACTGCTCCCATTTCCTATTCGCATTCACCGAGATAACCGGCGACAGGCAGACGCACAAGCGAATGCCCGAGAATGGAAAAACAAACGAGGGGGAACGTTGTGAGTTGCTGCGGACACCGCAACTCTACAGTTATACCCGATACTAAGTCAGTATGGCTCTCCTCCGGCAGACGCCGCTAATATTAAACGACACGACAAAGAGTGCGTGCGAGAGAGACAGAAAATCAGTCTGAGCGTGACGTCGGGCGCTGCGTAGCCACTAAAAATTGATTTCTTGCTTTTGGCTACAAAAATGATCCGATCTGATCCAGATTCGGCAACCGGATAGATATGGTCATTGTCTATGATTCTGCGTTTTAGTTTACTCGATTTTGCAATATTGTGGATGCAACAGATTTTCGTCCTTTGTGTGGGCGGAAGGGGGTGGGGCGAAATTTTGAGATATACGTTTTATAGTGAGATCTAACAGGAGTGCGGATACCAAATTTGGTTACTCTAGCCTTAATAGTCTCTGAGATTTATGAATTTCCCCAGATCTGCATCCTTTGCGGGGGCGGAAGGGGGTGTGGCGAAATTTTGAAACAAACTCGTCTCGGTCCGATATATTAGGAGTGTGGATACCAAATTTGGTTGCTCTAGCTTTTATAGTCTCTGAGATCTAGGCGCTAATGTTTTACTCTAAGCAAAGCCGCCTATGCTACGTGTGTGTTAGAGAGAGACAGGGCGAGAAAAAATGAAATTGTTTTCTTGATGCTGGCTATAATAATAATACGATCCAATTCAGATTCCGCAGTCTAAAAGATATCGTCATTCTCTACGATTCTGCCACAGATTTTCGCCCTTTGTGGGGGCGGAAGTGGGCGGGGCAAAGTTTTGAAATATTTTTGTAGCAGTGACATATCACAGAAGTCTGGATCCAAAACATCGTTGCTCTAGCTCTTATAGTCTTTGAGCATAAGGCGCTGAAGGGGACGGACAGACGGACAGACGGACGGACGGACAGACGGACAGACAGACATGGCTCAATCGACTCGGCTATTGATGCTGATCAAGAATATATATACTTTATGGGGTCGGAAACGATTCCTTCTGGACGTTACACACATACACTTTTACCACAAATCTAATATACCCCAATACTCATTTTGAGTATCGGGTATAAAAATACATGCAGTTCACGCACAGACCCAGACAGATCGCTGCTCGACTCGAGTCGAGTTTCGCTGATAAGGCTTTTTATACCTGGTACTCGAAGAGTATAGCGGTATATAGATCAGCATCAATAGCCGAGTCGATATACATATGTACATACATATGTAGTCATGTCTGTCTGTCCGTCACTATGAGCGCCTACTGCCCAGGAGCTAAAAGAGCAAGAGCAACCAAATTTCGCAATTCCTAGAGCAACTCCTGTAATATCACACTGTCACAAGTGTACTTCGCCCCCACAAGGGCCGAAAATTGTGGCATCCCCAATTTCGAACGTACGAGAGAACAAAAACGCAGAATCAAGGGAATGACCAGAGACTGCCGAAAGCAAGAGAGATGGCAACACACATACTGACTGAGTACCAGGCATGAAGTAGTACCGAGACAGAACGTTCCCGTTCGTTTTTTGCTGCGTTTGTTGGTTCCAGCAGCAGGGGCTGATGGTCGTTTGCGCTGTCGTATTGAAGGCCATTTCCTGAACGGCTACCGCAGAAAGTAAATGAAAATAAATTTTTGTTGGCACTGGTAACAGTTTCCAATTCAATTGGCTTCTCCAATTAAAATGCGTTGGAAGCAATTACGCGAGTTTCCATTTAAGTGAACGCGAGGGCTAGCCTCTAGAATTTGTCATACATAAACCAATGTATTCTTTTATCGCTGGGGCGCTCTCCAATTGCGATCATTGGAGCAAAGGAGGCTCTTGAAGCGGATCAATCATACTAAATTGTTGATTGTGCGCGAGACAAAGCGAAAACAAACAATAAACAAGAAACCAGTTTTAGCATGCCTTTTGAGACTTTCAGTGTTATTAGCAAGCAATCTGTGCGTCGTTTGCGCTCGTATTGGTCCATATACACATTTACATAGTACATATGTACAACATATGTACATATATGTACATCCATACATTGTACATTCAATATACATATGTTTGAAAACAGAAAATAATAACTTTTGATCAATTGCCAACGTGAGAAGCGCAACAGCTGTGAAAATCGATTGCATCCAATTTTAATGGCTATCCATTGCCAGTGTTCATGCGCTCCTGTGTAGACCTGTACACTTGTTCCATTTGCGAACTTTTCTAATATTCTAAGGCCAATTTTCTAAAAATTGTATAAGCAAAGGAGCGCCGCGTCACGAACCATCCCGCCCGTTATGCCAATGTCGGTTGCCAACGGCTGATAAAAGCTACATTCCTGCGCTACTTGCGAGAGTCTTATGCGATTTCCTTATGCGGTGTATACCGATTTTCCTCTCGGAACAGTAACAATACAACGGGCTAGAAGTTGGAGAGATAAGCTTCACAGTCCGTCCGGATCGAGTTGGACGATCGTTTGGATCACTCTTGTCGGCTAGTGGCAGCGGCGAGGCAGAGGCGACGCCAGCGGCGGTCGATAACGATAAAATTTACCAGGCTTAATCCAGTTCCTGGAAAAATCACATTTAATAATGTTTACAGAGCACTAAAACGGGTCGCTGCAGCGGCTTTGTTGAGACAGGTCACAACTGTTTCGGGAACGGAACTACGAAGTGTTTCTTAAGCCAAGTGCAGGTAGACAAGGCCTCCAGACATGCTGACGACGCCATGACTCGGCATAGTCTTTTGTCGGATTCGTCACAAAACAATCAAAAAATGAACAAAGGCAAATGAAATACGCTTCCTGCAGCCTGCAGCAACAGCTGTTCGAGTGCATTGGCCCCGCCGATCAAGAGTATATATGCATGCACGTATATGTATATGTATGTACATATGTATGTCCAAGCAGAAAATTATTTGCATGAATGTTCCAGCTGTAGTCACGATGCAAGGGATTCAAGAGAATTGAAATATTTTGCACAGATTGCCGAAAAGCAACGTTAAAAACGATCATTTAAAAACGGGAACACCACCGCAACGAAATTGTTCGACTGCAATTCTCGGCTCAGTGATAATCATATTAGCCAACACAGCGGGTAGGTGGTAATGAACTGGCGACAAATCAAGCGGTTATATCCCTCCAACGAAGTACAGTTCAACTAAATGTACCATATAATACACGGACATGTGCGCAGCATTGACCCACATTGGTATACATTTTCGAGTGAAAAGCAAAGTAAAAATAAAGCGCGATAGCAACGCATACAGCACAAACAACACTGCCTCACCGATGGAGTCCCCACTAACACTTGGGAGGGCGTATCGTACCCCATCCCCGTATCGGGCAACACGAGTGAGGATGGGAAAAGGTTAGGGCTACTGTTACTTCCTTTTAATGGAAAGGAACCCGGCTTGCAAAAGGAAATCGGACAAAGGCGAAACAGCAACGGCGAAAACGCGTTGTCCCACGATTGCCTGTTGTTATTGTGGTTCAACGCCCTTGAGGCTGAGGCGACTCACTGGCCGACAAACAAGAGAACATGCACGATGGGAAGGTGGGCGGAGAAAGGGTGGCTGGGATGTTGCTGGGGCAAGGTAATGGTTTTCCGTTTCTGTTGTTGTTGTTGCCGAGACTTTTGCTGTGTACGAGTATGCGTCAGCTGTTCCAAGGTATTAATTTAATTGATACCTACATACATATGTGCATACATACATACATATATACCTTGAGATATTCTTTTTAGTGTGCCTGTCGACATAAGGTGTCTCATTGCCCACTCACCTTAAAAGTAACTGTTTAGTTAATGTAAATTCGTCTTGGAGAGGGCTGTCAACACCCGCACATACACACATGTGCATACAAACATAAACTGACGAGACGCACGTTTTTCTCTTTTATTTTGAATTGGGTTTGTTGGTTTGGTGTTATAGGTGTCGGCTGTTACATGACAATAGTCATTCGTTTTGGTTATAGTGGCAATATGTTTTCGCGTTTTTGAGTAGAAACGTATATTTACAAAAATATTACACTATGTACACAATTCTATACTTATATTTGTTCAAAATATATACAAAAACAAAACGCGAAAAACGAAAGACCCGTCCGTCGATTTCACGCGCACGCCATCAGTGACCGCGGATTTATCGTTAAAATATACCGTCCGACTGTCAGAAATATACCAAAATATACCGTCTCATAAAAAAAATACCGTAAATATACTAACGAATTCAAGTTCCATTATACATATTGCTCGTTTTTGATATTCCGTCGAATATTACTAGCTAGGTAGAACATTTTGCTATGCTGACATAGTTTTATACGATTGATGAATCAAGTTTCTACTTAATTGTCTTGCATTGGATTTTGTCGTCCGTCGATTGTTCAGATTTTAGTAGCAAGAGGTTAAATTGACCGCGATAAAATTTGCATAGTGTATTCGCAGTTTAAGCGAATTCGGTATATTTCTCACGGGCTCAGCTGATCTGTTCAAGCTTATAACATTATCTCATCTCTTCTTGGAAAAGTCAATCCAAATTTTTCGAATTTTTTTACGGTGATGGAAACATATAATTAATCGAATTTTGTACAAAATAAATAGTATAAAGTATATATAGTATGCACATTTTACCACGGCCATTTAATTAGTCCGCTTAGTGTGACCAAATTTCACGCCATAGAGTTGCCAACGTTGTCCGACCCTCAGAAATATACCGTCTCATTTAAGAAATATACCGTTATTACATTGACGAATTCAAGTTGAATTATACATATTCTTCGTTTTTGATATTCCTTGAAATGTTACTACTAGCTAGATAGAACCCTCAACCCTGCCCACATAATTTTATCCGATTAATCAATCCATTTTCTACTTGACTGGCTTGTTCTGAATACTTGCTCTTTTTGGGTTTTTGTGTAAAACAAGGTTTAAACGAAAAAGGTCAAACAAAACAAGTGACAAAGTAAGTGAGTATGGAATGTCACGTTATTTCTTACTTGCAGCTTGTCAACCGGAGGAAGGCCCATTTTATACCCTATTTAGTTAATTTATTATGAAGATGCTGTTTAAGAACGTAATTACTAAAGACCTTTTCTCAGATTGATATCTTTTAGACATATTCATGCTTATGATTTGTGTCTTGTATATATCTCGATCGCGATACCTATTTTTGGTCTCTGTAAGAAGACAACAAGCTGAAAATATTGTTGAAATTGCTTTAAACAGAGACTAACTAGTTTCTGCAATAAAATAAAATAAATTAAATTAAAAAAACAATAACAGCTGTTATTTGTTTGATTTGTATTACAAAATATAAAATATTACAATAAAATAATTACACAGGTTTTTCCTTATTTGGTTGATTATAAATTATACAAATTTTTGTAAACGCAATCGGTTCTCGACTTCTTTGTTTATTATAACTAAAATAATGATGTATCTAAATATACGTTATAAGAAAAAAAATATATATCTAAAAAAAATACATGCATAAATATAAATGGAATGGCTTTACATATGTATATGTATGTACATATGTATTTCAAATAAATGGTCAATAGCGCGCTTTCCGACGGGAATATGCAAGACAAAAATGTAGATGCATGTCGCACCATGAATACTCTCATGGACAATACCCATAAATTTTCTAATTAAATTATAAACATCCTTTGTACATATGTATGTACATAAATATATCCGGCTATTACATTGCATAAGCATATTCAAAAGCAAGCTTCTTTAAAAAGTTGAAATACCTTAAAATACTCTAAATCAAAGCAACGAACCAGAAAAAAATTCGAATTGTGTGCATGTCTTTCTTACAAGATTTCGAGATTTGGCCATCATACTCGCATACATATGTACATACATACATACTTTCCATACAGGTGCGCGCCCTTTAAGCGTACTAACACTATATGGCTAGTGCACCAGGTCAAGTCAAGTTTTGTGAAACCATACAATGTGACTATACAATAGTATAGTCTTTGGTGAAACAGAACTGAACTGATACCGATTCGGCGATTTTGATTTATTGGTGTAGCTTGTAGAAAAAGATAAGCTCCCCTTGGCGCCGGCGAGGGGAAATAATTCTTCATACTTCATTAATAAGTAAATAAGAAAATAATATGTAATAAATGGAACGGCAGGAATGGGAAGTATCGGCGTTCTGTGGGAATAATAGCTCCAGGGCAGCTGCTTGTTTAAGGACCTGCAATTGTCTCTGGTCTTCTGGCTGGACAACAGACAGCAGCTTCCCACCGGGCCGGACAGGACTGGAACTTCGACTGGCAGAGGCGGCCGATAGGTCGATGGGACCCGAGTTGGCACTGTTTAGCGAGTGAGCTAGCGTTTCCGATACCGATGAGGAGGCCGATTGCAGCGAAGTGGGCAGTCCGAGACATCCACCGGCCGGCGACAGATGAGGATTTTGATTGTTGCTTTTGCTGTTCCCGAGCATGTTCTTTCCCGGACCACCTCCTCCTCCTACGCTGTTGTTGTTGTTGCCAGGAGACATGCTACCGGGCGGAGGTTGTTGTTGAATATGATGTTGTGTAAGTACGAGGTGCGCTGCTGCAGTGTGGAAGGGGGGCAAACGTTCTCCTGCAATGGATGTTAAATAGAATGGTCCACTCCATCATTTTTCTCGCAATCTTCCGTTATGTTTCAATACATGCGTAATACGTAAAGCTTACTTGAATTGTATGTGTGCGTCAGAAACAACGGACAAGATCGGACAGGACGCGAATTAAAAGCTGAAAAATCAGTGTGTGTGTTGATTTACATTTGTGTTGCAACTATTGTTGTTTTACTCAAATAATAAATAGTTACTCAAATAATGGATCAATTTTTGTTGCCGTTTGTCCGGACGCTGTCCGAGGAGCAGCTGGTGAACGCGTTAAATCACGTAACGCGGGAGAGTCGCTCCGCACAATTGAATTCCAGCGAAATACACATTCTGCATAACCTGCAAATGTCCGAGAGTGATCCGTTCGTCGTAATTCTGGATGAATTACATCTACATTGGGATTGGCACAAAAAATGGAAGGTGCTGGTTATCGCGGCCTTCAATATGGATGCGACCCATTGCCATTACCTCCATCAACGAAAGTTTGTCCCTGGTGATGGACGCCACAAAAGAAAATTTTGAATTTAAAACATTTCAAAAATCATTTTATTTTGCGTAATATTTAAATAAAGCCACTCATAATAACCAAAAAAAATATTTAGATTCATTATTGTCACTGTGCTGTTCAGGATACACCATTTTTGCAAAAGTTGACTTCTTATATTTTTTAATTTTGAACAGCTTCTTTGTATTCTTGGTGCTATTTTTCAGCTGACTTGTCAGTTTTAATTGTCTGGCCTTAACGACAAATATTTTGGTTTCCCGTCGCTATTTACATTTACTTTAAGATTTGAAAAAGATTTAAATATATAACTACGAAGGTCGAGCAAACGGCATTAAGTGCAGCACAACATTTTTACTCTTTTCTAAAGCTGTATAATTTGAACGTTGATATGCAATTACTGCATCTTTCAAGTGGCGATGCAATTAGGTGCAGTATGATCAAGTAGACCCTGTGACACCTGCAGAGGGCTGTTACTCGCGGATCTAAAAATAATTACTATTCGAAAGTACCTACCTCAGAAAATACAGAAAACATTTTTCACTTCAAAATCTGCGTAGCGTAGCTGAAAGTTTTTAAATAAAAGATAAATTACAAAAAAAAAAACAAAACTTAAATCTGTTGGAAGAATTCTAAAAAAAAAGTTTTAGAAATTCCGCATTTCACAAAAGAAGTTTCTTATGCTAGATTGGTCAATTCACCCACTGTTTAAATTTAAATTCGAAGCAAAATTGTTCGAAAAACTCGGTAATTAAAAAATTTTGTGTCTTTATTCGTATGTGTCAGATAGTAATTTATTTCATCGCATTCGTTTTATCATAATTTTTACGTAGTTGCTTTTTTACTGACATTTCTATTCTGTTGAAATATTTTTTGGTTTTGGGTTTAGATATAAATACGACGTCACGTTTTCGTAATTGATATTTCTCCTATGCAATTTTGTTGTATTCCTATAAAGACTTAATTTAATTTAAGATGTACATTACATCCTAAGACCATTGTTAAATATTTGTTGGTGGAATATGTTCTCAAATATGTTCCCATATTCTTTTGCAAGCTCCCGTTTTCAAAATGGAAACATTTTCCTTGCAAAAAATTAAAAGCAAACAGCTTTTCGTACAACAAAACGAATCTTAATCGCAAAATGAAAAAATAGATGACTAATTGACGCATTAACATAAGTTTGACACCATTACCAGGCAATTTAAGCTACCTTCTTTATAACTAATTTTCTTCACATTTTGGTCGGAAATAATTGGTGAGGGCAGCAATAATTTTCGAATTTGTGCTGACAGCTGGCGCACCCCGAGTCGGTTATTGATACATAGAATGTAGTTACACATAATAGACGATTTTATCAGCGCAATACCCTACACAATACACTGTGCGCCCAACAGCATTAAATTGTGCGTTTAGCAGTACATGTGGCAGTACGTTGGGGCTGAAAACGCAAAAGTAAGTGAAAACCGGAACCTGCCGGATTTTTTACTTGTTTATACCCGATACTCAAAATGAGTATTGGGGTATATTAGATTTGTGGTAAAAGTGGATGTGTGTAACGTCCAGAAGGAATCGTTTCCGACCCCATAATGTATATATATTCTTGATCAGCATCAATAGCCGAGTCGATTGAGCCCTGTCTGTCTGTCCGTCTGTCCGTCCGTCCGTCTGTCCGTCCCCTTCAGCGCCTAGTGCTCAAAGACTATAAGAGCAACGATGTTTTGGATCCAGACTTCTGTGATATGTCACTGCTACAAAAATATTTCAAAACTTCGAACCGCCCACTTCCGCCCCCACAAAGGACGAAAATCTGTGGCATCCACATTTTTAAAGATACGATAAAACCGATAGAACCTACGCAGAATCGTAGAGGATGACCATATCTTCTAGTGTAAAATCTCAACCAGATCGTATAATTATTGTAGCCAGAATCAAGAAAACAATTTCATTCTTTCTCACTCTGTCTCTCTCTAACACACAGGTTTCATGGTCGGTTTTGCCAATTGCAAAATATGAGTTCTAGGATCTCAGAACCTATAAGAGCCAGAGCAACCAAATTTGGTATCCACACTCCTGTGATATCGGACCTTGACCGATTCGTGTCAAAATTTCGCCACACCCCCTTCCGCCCCCGCAAAGGACGAAAATCTGGGGCATCCACAAATCTCAGAGACTATTAAGGCTAGAGTAACCAAATTTGGTATCCGAACTCCTGTTAGATCTCACTATAAAACGTATATCTCAGAATTTTGCCCCACCCCCTTCCGCCACCACAAAGAACGAAAACCTGTTGCATCCACAATATTGCAAATTCGGAGAAAACTAAAAACGCAGAATCATAGATAATGACCATATCTATCAGATTGCTGAACCTGGATCAGATCAGATAATTTTTATGGCCAAAAGGAACAAATCAATTTGCACTGGCTACGCAGCGCCCGACGTCACGCTCAGACTGATTTTCTGTCTCTCTCGCACGTACTCTTTGTCGTGTCGTTTAATATTAGCGGCGTCTGCCGGAGGAGAGCCATACTGACTTAGTATCGGGTATAACTGTACAGTTGCGGTCTCCGCAGCAACTCACAACGTTCCCCCTCGTTTTTTGCTCCGTTGACTCTTAACAGGAACTCTTCGTAGGTTAGTGTTGAAAATGGTTGGGGAAGACCAAAAAACCCAGCCGGACTATATTAATTCAATTTTATCAAATTTAAAATTATGCATTATACAGCTATATTTCATCATTTTAACAGCTGAACTCGGCTCAACAAATCAGGGTCCCGGCAATGATTTCGTCAAAATATCTGCCAGTTGTTCATCTGTGAAAAAATACTTAATACAAATTAGTTTTTGTATAATTTGTACCCCAAGAAAATGAGACCTAATGCTAATATGGTTTTTTTTTGCGGCCTTGTAAGCTTATAGACTTTAACCACATAGCTTCTTTCGTAGCTTCAAACAGTGCCATATACTCGGCCTCAGTAGATGAAGCAGCAACTGAATTTTGCTTTCTTGAATTCCACAAAATTAGGCATGAATCTAACATTTTAAATGGATAACCCTTCTGTGATTTTCGTTTCCATTAGTATACAGTAAACAAATTTGTATGATTTAAACTTTTAACCAAAATCAACCTAAGATTAAAATATTTTAAAACTCTTTTTAGGCACTGCCATGCTTCTTTATTATTTTAAATGGTGTATCTACTTAAAGTACCAACAGCTCTACTCAAGACACATATTTCATCTAAATTTAATGCCACATAATTGAGTTTACTTGGAATTGTAGTACTAACCTTAAAGCATTAATTATGTAAGCAGATTAATTTTCCTAATTTTCCATCAAATCTGTCTATTTATATTTTTTTTTAATAAAATGTCTGCTTTCACCCAATCTATAGAATTTAACTGTAAAACTCGGAATTCAGAGGTTTGGTCAAACGACTGCACCTCAACCATTTATCAATAGATTTTTACTAACGATATCTTAAACGACACCCAATTTCAGAATAATACCAAAGGCCAAAATAATTTTATATAAATTAATTTCGCCTTTTTGAGTTTTCAAAGTCAAAATTTCGTTTAAAAACACCAAATCTATCAGAAATCAGAATCTATCAGTCGTTTTGGTTCACAGCGGAAATGTCGTATTAAGTATAATGTAAGTTTAATCAACTAAATATTGTGTGAAACTACGTGCCGCAAGTCGAGATTTATACATTGTAGGATTACCCAATTCGTCATTCTTTGTTGTAAACACGCATCTAGAATCAACCAGGGTCCAAGTTCCATTTTATAATATGAGGATCTAACTATCACTTAATTGCTTGATCCCATTTAAAATTTGTATTTCTTCCTTTTTCGAAATTTAGTTTTTATTTCAAAACTATTCGTTTTGAAATACGTCTTCCCCATACTCTCATCCTGGGCAATTCTCTTAAATTTTTGCACCAGAAGATATGAGGTCTGATAATAAGTCATCAAATATTTATAAATTCTTCTTGAGCGATGAATCGGATTTCAATTTGAAAGCTAAATGACCGCTGAAACGCCAAGCTTTAGCGCTCATACATTTTTAAAGATATCTTACGCGAATCTTCCGAAAAACGTGATTCCATCTGGCTGTTATATAATGTTATCTTTGAGTACTTAGTTACTACTACTGTTTTTCTTTTGCGCTTATTGCTCACTTTGAGTACCAACCGGTTCCGATATGGTGGAGCTAACAAACGAAATCCAAAACAAGTTGCGAGTGATTTTAGCCTTAGTTAAGGAACAAAAATACTTATGCTCATGTCGGAACGATACTGGAAGTTTAAGATTGTAGATTTGTAGATTGGCCTTGAATAACAAATGCATCAATGGATATCCAAATATTTCTGTTGTTACCTGTAATGAATACATCAATTAATTAGCATAACAAGTTTATAATATATCAATTGGATCAGATATACATGTACATATGTATGTATTTATATGTATGCAATATTAAAGACGGAATGACATGGTCATATGGGTTTTATCGAATCTGACGTAGATTGAAGAAACGAATTTAATTACAGCTTGGTGAAAAATGTTCCCTTTAGATGTAAATAATTATAATGCAGTCTGCAAGGGACTTTAGGAGTCAAATCTCGTGTGAATGAATAAATGAGCATTTCAAAAAGTGTCGACTGGTTATGGAGCTGGGGAAGAGTGCTAAATTATTCCAGTCGAGGTATTCAACCTTTGCGGATCATGACCGCTGACACAGAACAATCACCCTGGTTGGGAGGAAGACCAAGAGTTGTAACCCACCGCGAGGAGTACAAAATATAAAGCTTTTTCCAGAGGTCTGTGCTCATACTCATCCGAACCAGTTGAACAATGGAGCTGCGTTTATTTGTGCTGATTGTTCTGACGGGATTATTTCAGGGACAATTTCAAAGTAACGGACAAGTCGTGCCGGGACTTCGTGTAGGACTCGTGCCAGTGCTAGAAAATGGCCAGATTCGAGCAGTGCAATATCTGGAGATAGCAAGTACTGTCACGCCAGAGTCGGTGAAGGAACAATTCAGCAGAAGACATATGACTCTGGCAAAACCATTAAAGATTGGTGCTAGTGCCCAAACCAATTTGCCCTGAAAATTAATCAGAATATGCTAAAAAGGACTTTACCAGTTAAATTTATTGTTAACTGAAATTGATTAAAATATGAATCTTTTTTCTGAAAAAGATTTTGAAAAAGTTGATTGTTTCATTCAAAGCCATGCAGAAACATTTTCTTACTGTTAAATCTTCTTAGGATCTTGGGGATTTGAAGATATTTTAGGCCCGCGACGTAAAATTCACCTTTCAGATCCACGGTTCATATGGAAGCCAAATGATGGAGAGATCGAACTAGAACTAATTGAGCTTTCCCTGAAGGGATATTGCTGCTGAGGGGCTGCAATTGATACCCGACGCTGATAAACTGCTGCATATCAGGTGGGATAGGCACGGACGGCTTAAGGTGAAACAGGACGAATTGCTTCGAATTTCATTTAAATTAAAAAATAAATCTCGTTTGAGTGTTCCCACTTTAGAAGAGCTGCGTGTCATGTAAGTATAGAAGTTGTGACCCGTGGACCCCGACAGTATGACGACGAAATGGACGACTACGATGATGACGATGATATAAACTAGATTAACACTAAATTCGTCGCGAGATCCGATTTTTAGTATAGTAAGGATTATATTATGGCCATAGAAACTACAGTTGATGTGAAAATGGATTGAATCGCCCAGATCGGGTGAGAAAACTAAATATGTGGGACTGGGGGACTTCAGATAGGGACGATATCCCGATCCTTTTTAGTTTGATTAAATAACATTTAAATTTCGGACATTTGAGCCGTGAGATCTTTACGCCTGTGTGCCTATAAAAATAATGGAGGCAATTAGTTATTCAAATGATCTTGATCAGAACCTCTCGCTATACCGCAGATGGTGGGTGCGTACAGCAATGCAGTAGGTACATATACATACCTATAAATTCAGCTACTTTTATCTTTTGCAGGGGAACTTTGCCAATACCGGATATACTCTGATGATTGACCATCGATGATTCCGATCGAGAGCTGTGCTAGGCGCAGTCAATTCTAGACATCCCCGAGAACTTTGTACATATTTTATACATTAATTAAATAGTACTTACAAAATCTCATCCGCCTTGCCATTGAACCGTTGGATTCAAATTACAAATTATTCACATTTTGTGTAATTTTTTTTTAGAGCTTTACGCAAAATTTTTTAGCTCCAACTGACGGAATTTCAATTGGAATGAAACCACAGGCTAGATTCCGAAATGACGATGAATGATACGATGATTGGGTTAAAAGAAAGCACTATCGAGAAATTACGTGCTGCCAAATTGTGTGTACAATGCCTCACAGTTGGAAATTATACATTTTTGGAATTCGAAAAAAGCGTTAAGAAATTCTCATTCAAACTTAAATTAATAGATTCGGCTGCAGCCGAATCGAAGCACCATAGTTCCCAAAATTCGATCTGCCACATTTTTCCATGAACTAGTTGAGTTGTAGTTCAAACTAAATTTTATTCTTAAAATCAGAGCCTTATATGTGATTTGACAATGAAGTAGAAGGTACAATTTGTATTTCTATAATTATCGTTAGACTACGCAAGGGATACATTTTACTGCGGATGTCTATTTGAGTGCATGCTTACATTATTGTTATTTTAGGACTACGTTGGTTAAGTGTATTCTCAACTTGTGTTTTGCTGTAGTATTTTTTAATGGATTTCAGATCTCTGTTTACACCCGAACAGTCATAACTCGTCTACTTTATATGATTTCTTTAGAGATCAGTTGTTCGGATACATGAGTGAATTTGAACAATATGTTATGCTTAAATTAATTTATTATTTATGCACATAATCGCCATTGCTGTTGATTAATTCCTTCCAATCGGTTAAGATTCAGCCGACTTTCACTTTACGGAATGACCCAACAGACCCAAAGGAAGAACGATGGCTGTGCCAAAGTTCTGCGAGCCCTTGAAATGCAGGCTATAGGGTATATGGGTAGGTATTCGAGACTATCTATTTGGAATATGGCCTCTGGGTATGCGATCTCGTCCTCGATCCTCATGATCTCCCCAATCATGGAGCCCAGCTGCATGATGTCCTGGAACTTGTAGTTGCTGGTGTCGTAAGAGCCGGCACGAATGATTGTCACGCATGGCCCTGGCTCGACAGCAGCAGCACTCTGCAATGAATCTCCTCTCTCGTGCCACAGCTCTGCACCCGATACTGAAACTCACCCCATCTTTAGGATGTCGATCACCACAGGCCACAGTCTGTGGCCATGCGCTGCTCGTTGAAAACCTCGGGTATGGAGGACTGCAGCGTGTATAAGCGATTGAACTTCTCCTTGGATCACTGCAGACTGAATTTTGTTTCACGCAGAAACGCCAGGAGGAACTGCTCGTCTGTGCAGCCCCCAGGTGCGGTTGGCTTAGTAGTCACTCCCTCACGGACGCAATGTCGTCGGTCACCCGTTGCGGCCTCAGTTGTCCAAGACTGCCAATTCATCATGAATATACGACTATACAATGTGGTCTACTTAGAAGGCGCCTCGTCCTGGTCACGTCCCGGAATATAGTATGGCTGCTAATGAGTACGCTAAAAATGAGAATAAAACGTGACACTGACCCCCCAGTGAATTCTTGGAAAACAGACCAGAATACACAAAGAATAATTTTAGTTCCGAGAAATATAAATCCGATCGTTACGGTTCTGACATATGTACATATGTATGTATGGAAGTGCGTGCACAGCAACAAAGCTGTGGACAGTTTCAGCTAGAAGCTCTGCTTTAAAACTAGAAACTAAAGACTTTCAGACTTCAGCTTTTGCAATTAAGATCTGTTTATCTTTTGATATGGGGTTAATGACTATTTCGGAGCTATTTAATGAATATTACTCGTAATATGCATTGGTTCGAACCAAACCAACCGGTGCTTGGGAGCTGGAAGCCTAAAGAGGATATCTTAATACAAATCATGGGATGTAAAAGTGCATAAGCCGTATTTCCTAGTTAGTAGCGGGCTTTGAGCCACCGCGTGAACTCTGGCTGTTGTTTCTGCCGCCAGTGTAAGTTAACCTGGGCGTGCTCAACAGCGTGCCTTACACTGCGTGTGGCTAGCTTCTCGAGTTTTCTGTGGCAGTCGATGAACATTTTTAATTCCCTGTAATCGTGAGGGCTACTTATGTGTTGAGTTATCTGTAGAAGCAACGCAGCTAGCTCGCGGAAATTCGACTCTAAACTGCAAAACGATTGAATAGATTTAAATGTTAAAGCTGTTATGGTGGTCTCTTACGACTTCGTTAGCAGAGTGAAATTATTCATAAAATAATTTTTGGCCAAAGGAAATCCGATGTGACTCCGCGTAATGGCTCCAAAAGCTAAAGAAATGTCCTGCTTGCGTATTGACGAATTCTCATTGAAAATAATCTCAAGATATCGACGAATCACCCATACTATCCGTGTGCATCCCAGAGCCTGAAGTATCAATCGTCGCTCACTGGCCACCGTTGCGTTGCAATAGCGTTGCCATAAAAAGTTCCAGTCGTACTCATCGCCTTGCCGCAGGGCTGCACAATAAACCACCGATCGAAGGTTTTGAGGTACGGGATTTACCAGATCTGGATCGTTTGAAATAAACCAGCGATGGTAATACTGCACAGCACGTTTACGGCAATCTGAAAGAGCCAACCGACATGCCCATTGATTAATCAATGTCTTGTGAGCGACATGGTGACCTTTTGACTGTGTTTCCATTCCACCAAGATAAACGTAAATCGGTCTCAGCAAATCATTCATAAAGTTCTGTGGCTAAGGCTACTGAAAATTAAAGGCTCTCACCTAATTTTCCTACGTCTAGCTAATTAAACACTTTAGAATTAGTTCGAGGCTTATTAATACAACAAAGAATAAGCGAAGGGTATTGTTTTCACGGGCCTACACAAAAAAGAAATACAGCTATATGAATCCATCGGAATTAGTCCGGCTGATATTACAAATTTAATTAATTAAAATGGGACTACTTAAGTCCATTATGCTTTTGTGAAAGCCTCGAACTGATTCTGATCACTAGCTTCCTTTCTATACTATAGTACTACAGTCACACTTTACAATCTTAATCCAAATTCTAAAGTATTCATACCTGAAAAAGGGTAAAGTCGGCAGTTTGCTTTATGATCCGGTAAATTGTTTCCAAATGATCTAAGGCGGCGCGCCAAGGCATATACGCATGCTCCTGTTTGATATATCTAAGCAGGTCTAAGGCAATCTTATAGCACAGATGACCATTCCAAGATAAAGCCAGAGCATCATTAATTAGCTGGGCACGGTTCATGGTATGAATACGCCGGAAATCACCCCCATGTAATGTTTTAATAATGAGTCGCCAGTTTACGGTGTCATAGTTGACTCGAAAAGGCGCCGTCAGTTGAACGTTAAGGATAAGCCATTGATCCGCTTCAGCACTCAGCGGCGATCGAGCCTCGAGAGGTATGTCGTTAACTTGGCTATCGCATTGCAACCATACTCGTGGTTCCGTTGCTGTAAAATTGGCCCTGCGTGCCAAAGTAAAGCTTATTGGAACAAACCAACACCCATTGGAAATGGAATTGTCCTTTTCCATAGTTTTGCCTAAGCCATCTATGAGAAACCTCCTCTGATTGATAGACATCGTGTTTCTTACATAGTCACGATGTACTGTGATCAGTGGATAGCCAGCTTGCAGCGTCCAAGTATCCATGACCCTCTGTACGTCCAGATACCTAGGCATACTTCCGAATTTATGTGCAGCTTCCGAGAGTGACCGCCACAGATCATTTTGATCTGCGTTGCCGTAGGCGTGCCGCTTCAGATAGCAGTTGAGTCCTTTGCGGAATGTCATATCGCCAGTAAACATGTGCATCATACGGATGATGACTGCACCCTTGCGATAGGTGATAGGGTCAAACTGCTCCGCAAACTGACTAGCCCTGCTCACCGACTGGGAAATGGCACGTGTAGTATGGTACGCATCTGAGTTAAGTACAACCATCATATTCTCCAGCGACTCCTCTGCATAAGCATGCCACTTTTTGCAGAGCTCTTGCATGCCCAATGTGGCTACATAAGTGGCAAATCCCTCATTGAGCCATAGATCATTCCACCACTTCATTGTTACAAGATTACCAAACCATTGATGGGCTAGTTCATGGGCAATGATGTTCGCCACACGCTGCTTGTCCACTTCAGAGGAGGCTTCCGGCGCATAAAATAGTGCCGCCTCGCGGTACGTTATGAGACCCCAATTTTCCATCGCTCCAGCGCTAAAGTCCGGCACTGCCAGCTGGTCTACTTTGGGAAGAGGATAGTCTATTTCAAATACACGTTCGTAATAGTCCAATAGGCGTGGACCGATGTGGGCAGCATACTTGCATTGCGCAATGGCTGAAGCAGGTGCCCAGGTGGTAAACTCTACACTGAAGGTACTTTGCGATTTGAGTCCCGCAAAGTCGTTGACACTATAGCAAACCAAATAGGACGACATGGGCAACGTTTGCTCAAAAATCGTCCACAGCCAGTTCTTACGACCAGATCTGTCATCATAAATCTGATTGAGAATCAGGGTACACCCTAACTATTGAACCACTTACATGGAAATCTTCTTTGTGACGGGCATATTACTCAGAGCCACGTATTTCCTGTGATGACCGAGAGTAATGTTGAACGTAGCCTTGAACGCCGGCTCATCGAAACAGGGAAAGGCGGTACGCGCATAAGCGGGTTCGAACTGTGTCACAGACAAATACCTACATATAAACGATTGTGGAGGACCTGCAGATTGGTGTTTCAATAGCTAATCCTCACCTTGTTTCATTACGTTTTTGATCTTTGTACGAGCTGACATAATAGCCAGACATTCCTCCCACGAACGGGGCGAAGAACTGTATATACAGCACATAATTTTGGCGCGGCTCCAGTACTTTACACAGCATTAGTATATAATAATCATATTTCGAGTTGCGTTCCACAGCTCTTACGCCTATCTTTGTCCTATTGCCGCTCTCATCTAAGTAATACAAGTTCGTTTGATCTGAGGTAATTTGCAGACGCGGGCCAGCATGCAAAGTTATGTTGTTGGTGGACTGCAATGCACGCAGCTCTATTTCCACTTCACCGGAAAAAGATAGCCCAGTTTCGTCTTCCAAGTGTGTTAAAACACGCAAGTTGTAGTGCCGTGGTTGCAAAGTTTGAGGAAGACGGTAGTGATCATAGCTTGCTTGGCCAAATGTCGATATAACTAAGATAAACGAAACAATCAGAGTCATTTCAGTTGAAAACATATACTACATCGATTTTCGAACAATTTCTCATGGCCTCTCTCTCTACTTTTATACCCGATACTCAAAATGAGTATTGGGGCGGTATATTCGATTTTTGGTGAAGATGTGTGTAACGTCCAGAAGGAATCGTTTCCGACCCCATAAAGTATATATATTCTTGATCAGCATCAATAGCCGAGTCGATTGAGCCATGTCTGTCTGTCCGTCTGTCCGTCCGTACGTCTGTCCGTCTGTCCGTCCGTCCGTCTGTCCGTCCCCTTCAGCGCCTAGTGCTCAAAGACTATAAGAGCTAAAGCAACGATGTTTTGGATCCAGACTTCTGTGATATGTCACTGCTACAAAAATATTTCAAAACTTCGCCCCGCCCACTTCCGCCCCCACAAAGGACGAAAATCTGTGGCATCCACATTTTTAAAGATACGATAAAACCAAAACCGCTGAATCGTAGAGAATGACCATATCTTTTAGACTACAGAATTGGATCGTATTATTATTATAGTCAGCATCAAGAAAACAATTTCATTTTGTCTCGCCCTGTCTCTCTCTAACACACACGTAGCATAGCCGGCTTTGCTTAGAGTAAAACATTAGCGCCTAGATCTCAGAGACTATAAAAGCTAGAGCAACCAAATTTGGTATCCACACTCCTAATATATCGGACCGAGACGAGTTTGTTTCAAAATTTCGCCACAGCCCCTTCCGCCCCCGCAAAGGATGCAAATCTGGGGATATTCTCTTTCTTCCGGGATTCTGCGGTGGGGACAGAGGTCCACCTGCTGCCTGCCCAGCTCTGTACATTGGACGAAGCTCAGCTCAAGTCCTTCCTTTTCATATATACTTATTGCTCCGTCGCATAACAGACATACCTCACCCGAGTCCATCCTGTGGCCTATCTTTTTCCACCCTAGCCGTTTCTGGTAAAGCTTTTTAAGCTTAGCGCTCGACTGCATCACCTCCATCACAGTGCATCACCGAGCCCTGGGGGCTCCCCGGTGCCAACGGGAGCGGCTGTTTCCCTTCTGCCTCAGACAGACCGCCAAAAGGAAGTGGATCCCAGAAAATGCTAATAGATTAGAGTTGAATTAAATTTAAAAATCAAATAATATAGAAAAAACAGTAAACAACAATACGAATGCAACGCAAACAGACACATTTTAATTTACTGATCGCACAGATCGTACAACTCTATGCGGGTCGTAAATCTGAAATGCCGCCCGCCTCATGCCAGATGTTTATCCGGAGCACGGCCCGACAATTAGAGGGCTTGGCTCCCACTTTTTCCTGATTTGTGCGGTAAGCCTGGCAAAACATAATGCTTACTAGGAAAAGATCTGGTGATAGCGCAGATCAAGAACCCCTAGAACCAAGCGCCAATGGATGTTGCAACCTTGTATTTTATGGGAAAGGGAAAATATCATTTGCATCAGTATTGTGAGCTATTTCTGTTGCTCCGAAGGATATCATTTGGAAGCATGAATTGGTTTGAATCTACATCCATGCTTATGAGCAAACCATTCAAAAGTTCTGGTAGTGTCTCAACAGGTAGGTACACATACCATCTGACCCATATTTGAATTTGAGCGCTTGACATGGGGACATTCTTTCTCCATAGCACCAATCAGTACTTTCGGATGAGCGAACTATTCAGTAGATGTCTTGCACTCGAATCCGAGACGGTGAAACGAAGCGAATATAAATGCTTAATTCACTTTTTGGTGCTGTCTGCCATTTTCTCTGTGCGTGTCTATTTTACGGCCCAATGGAATAAAACGCAAATTTAACGCAAACCTTCACAGTCACAAAGCACGTCATACAAATAGATGAAATCATACCTGATAGAATTAGATATTGTTCAGACAAAACCACTAAAATCCAGATTAAACGAGGGAAAACGTTGTGAGCAGCGGCAAGTTCTGGCTATAATCTGAACTGATCCAGATTCGGCACCGCCTCCTTCTGGGTGTCGCAGACATCCACTTCCACCACAAATCTAATATACCCCTATGCTCTTTGAGTATCGAGTGTAAATAAGGTGGATGGTGGTAGGAAGGTTAAAAAATACTTTGCGACCTATTCTCATACCCACCATTAGGTGGGTTTCTCAACAAACATTTCCTACAAATCGGTCGAGTCATTTGGGCTCCTCTATTTATAAATTTGTATTACATGGTATATTGATTCCGCAGAATATCAATTTTCAAGGTCGTGACAAATTGGAAAAGCAATTGTTTTATATTTTCCGTTGATGGCATGGAGCTCGTAGTGCATGTTTTGGGTTACGGAAACTGATCCGTTCGATTGAGGAGTTTTTATCAGGAAGTCAACCGGCACATTCATACTATTAAAGGTCCAGTGTAAGGGCTCCGGCAGCCTAGTCACCAGCTCGAAGCACTGTGCCAACTTAAGTGACCACACAGAAACCGAATCGAAGCTCAAACCCTCCCGTTTGTATAGTTTTACAACTTCATTGAAGTTTCGAAAGGTGCTCATAGTTATTACAGCTGTCGGTTTGTCACCGAAATAGTGTTGCGGGAAATCCAATACCACTACGGGGGAACCAGGCTTTATGTGGCTATACCTCTTTTCAGTGTCCCCGTCCTCGTACTCCTCTATGTGTATGGTTGAGCAATTCATGCGGTCTATGAGCTTGAGCGATCTCAGGTAATTTGGATGTTGGTGCAGCCGTTCATCCATTGGTTTTAAGTTAGCACCAATTTTTTGAATCACCTCCTCACGTATCGATTCTTCCACAAGAACGCTGGCGACCAGGCCACTCCCAATCGGGTGCATCATATCCTTTACAATTGCTTTAGTTACCTGGCTTACATCTCCAGTTGAGAAGAGTATTATTAGTTGTGGAAGCACCCACATCTTGTGGCTACCATCTTCGGGATATCTATGTACATGTCGTCTAAGCAAGCACGTATAGACGTCATCTTCCATGCAGTGGCCCTGCTTGTAAATATGACGATCGATGGTTTTAGCATCACCCTCTTCGACAGTTTTGGATTTATTAATTTCGAGACCGCTCATTTTTTGATTACTTCGAATTTGAATATATTCTATAAATTCTGAAACGTATTGATGGCTAAGTAAGCAGCCTCTTGGTTACACATTTGATACATTTAATTTACTTGTGGAGTTCTTAGCTGTGATAGATGTGAAATAGTCGTATAGTAAAAGGGTATATTGAACTCGCGGTCTTTGCATCTCGCATTTAAATCTTACGCATCTAAGAACCCACCCTGGTTTCATTCATAGGGTGCTTCTGTCATCATGCTACCTTCTGACATTTCCGTCCTTAAATCTCTGTGGCTTTTAATAATACATTCCGTATTTTCCAGACGACCCTCAACAAAGCTATCATTCCTTATAATTCGTATCCATAGGAATTAGCTGCTAAGGTAAGACGTATGTATCCTTCGATTCGATTGAACGGCGAGAATAATAGAGTTAATTTCAAAATAGTTTTCTCTTTAATTTCACTATAATTAATCAATTGAAAATGTTCTTAGTTACATATAAAATTCTGAGTAACATCTTCGTATTCAATGTCAGTATATTCCGTTTAAACTCGAGGTTTTAACTAACAGCCAAATATACACATATGTATGTATTTTACTTTACAGGAAAGGAAGGGACAAAATATTTATTAATGACATGGACTTGAAATCTATCTGCAAGATTGAGGATTTATAGCATTATAGGTCGTCTGTCAAAAAATGGTTCTAGATTCAAAATCGATAACGAGGGACACAGTTTTAACAATTAAGGAATAGCTTTGTATACAAAAACGAATATAAATTGAAGTACCAATGCTTTACTTGGGTTTTTTTCTTATTTTGTTCCTAGCGATTTATTTTCATAGAGTATGTGTGTGTGTATGTTTACATCGATTTGTGTTTTTTGTTGATGTGTTTTTTAAAATTTAATTTAAATAAATGTCCAATAATGGCCAACGAAAAGAGTTTAGTTTTTCACAAGCCCCTATGCTTTTGCTTTTTTAATACAGTAGTTGAAGTGAAAATAACATAATGTAATTATAGGCATTCCATGGGGCTATGGCTATGCTATGAACTAGGACTCCATTTCTGCAGGCTTTTGAAAGCTTTAGAGTGATAGAGAGTGATTAGAGTGATATGCTATTAAAGCTTTTGAACATATATGCAGTTTAAAGCATTAAATAAATTTAAACACATTCTATAGAAATAGAGTGCAAGAAAGTGAGGATAAAAGGCGGAGCCAAATTAACATCTTAAGTACGTATTTTACGAGGTAACACATTATACATGTAGTACATTTATATATATATAAATATTTGTTGTTTGCTTATTAGTATTACGAAAATGCACTACAGCTGGATGTAGCCATTGATTTCTCAAATATAGGCAAAAAGGTCCCAATTAATACCTTTTCAAACATAAACACAACATAATCCGTCATTACACAACGATTGACTAAATTCGGATAAAAAAGAAAGAACAGAACAAACAATAATATCATATAATAACAATATTTGCGGAAACAGGCATGCTTCTTTCGAATTTGGAATTGAACATGTGATGGATAGTTACGGGAAATTTGATTTTCTGCAATAAGCTCATAAATAAAATGTGCCTTGAAATTGCTATTGGGGCTTAGGCCTATTTGGGCTGCTCTTCTAGTTTTGGAAGAAGAGGCGTGGAAGCAGCGGTCGCATCTCTGTCATCCTGCTCTCCATTTTGAAGGTCTCCTACATCTGAAGCAACTAGACTACTCATTGAGGCATCCTCCGTGGGTTCAGTGTTGCCAATCCTTTGGTCACCTTGATTGTGCACACTAGGACTATTGCTCTTCTCGTCATGAGATAAATCAATATTCGTTGGGGACGAAGTTAAACTTCGGTTGGGCTTAGACAAAGCCCTCGTGCTCTGATTCGCCGCTAAGAATCGTGGCTTTTCATCTTCACTTATCGAGTGCAGCAGACGTTCCACTTCATCGTCAAATGTCTCACTTGAAAATGTTCCGGATTTACGACTTTTCTCCAATAATGTGGCCTTTTTGGCAGTAAGATATAGAACCCGTTTAATTGCAATGTATATCACATCTGATATAGCGCGAACAGAGTAATCAGGTACAAAGGATTGTCGAATTTTAGAATCCATATTCAGCGACTGTAAAGATCCCATTTGCGTCGGAGAATCTAGAAAACATAGATTGTATTTTAATATTAAATCAATTTAAAACCTTTATCATCAATATGTACATGCACAAAATAACTTTGTAACAAACAAAACTTCAACATACCAATAACTACATTTTGGACCAATGCTTGGGTGCCAAAATAAGTAAATGGGCCGCTTTCAAACATCAGAGCTTCCTTGCCAATAGTGACTTCCACACGGCCTTCCAATATAAGTACAAAAAAGTCGACAGCTTTGCCTTGTGTGAATATGTACAGACTAGGGTCGTCTTTACTTTTTCCTTTCGCTTTGATATTGTGAAAAACATCCTGATTGAGTAATCTCCGGAGAATTGGTTCCGAAATGACATCTTTTTTAAACGCATCAACAGCTGAAAGAGTTTTTTGTAGTCGTTTCACAGTCCCAATAGTCCCATTTAGACTGTTTTTTTTTTACCTGTGCTTAAGTACTGAAAGGTGGCCAGTGTTAGTTGTGGAGATATCCGTACGGCCTGCACCTCGCGGCGTTCGGCAAATGCTGAAAAATCTGCTTTTTTATAACGATTGCGCTTAACTTTTGTGCGGTTATCAACGAACACGTCTGTCTCATCAACAATCTCCGCCTGGATAAGCTCCTCAATTACATCCTCGAGAGTAACCAACCCAACGGTCTCATAAAAGGGATCCCCATCCCCTTCATTGTTAACGCGATGCACAAATGCGATATGACCTATTGTGCCTTCTTTAAATTGGTTAAACATAATATCCAAGGTATAGTCTTCAAATACAAAATGAACCGGATTTTGGTAGAATTCGCACAATGTTTTCAGTGGAGTGTTGTCGTCGGTATCCACAAATGCTAAATCCTTAATGTAGAGCAAAGTCACAATATTTTTTCTATCTCCATCGTAGACAGGAATGCGGGAATAGCCAGAGTTCATGATTTCAGATACAGTTTCAAAGTCAAGCACAGCTTCTAATGAAAGCATAAAAGCATCATCAATGTGTGTCATCACGTCTGCTACCGTCTTTTTGCGTAGCTCCAGAGCTCCCGATATAATATTCACTTCATTTTTATCAAGATCGTTGACATCGTTTGTGACCTATACAGTGTATGATCAATTTTGTTTGTACATAGTTGTAGAAATGTGTCTTGGAAAATCTGTGGCAGGCATTGCATTCGGTACTTACACGAACAAGTTCTTTTAATCGTTCTCGGTTGTAAACATTGCCAATTTCTTCACCCAATAACGCATCGAGAATGCGAGAAATAGGGTACGACAGGGGCGCTGTTATAGCCATTACAGTTTTTGTTATTAATATGGTTTTGGCTCCAACAGCCAATCCATATCTTGAACACACAGCCTGTAAAATGAATACAACATGTTGTGTAATACTTATACATATACATTACAAAATTCCAAAATATTATTAAAAATACATATGTGTACGATGTAGTTACCGTTAATTACACTATGCACCACCACATTTTCGCTTCGAACCAAACCGACTTTTTCTGATAGATTTGGGGCCTTAAATTTTTTTAATGAATTATTTTAATGAATTTTTTCCATGTTAAGGTTTTTTATTACTTTTGGAAACCGGCTTTTTGTGTAATCCTTTTTAGAAGTTTTGTATCTTTGCATAACTTAAGTATCTTACATCTGGTTACTGAACTTTGCAATTCTGAAAAGCTGGTAAATGCCGCTATAAATTTTACCCAAACATATTGTAGCTTCAACTTACCGTCTGGAAAATATTAAGTTTTCAAATGAAGATTTATAATTTTATCCTTCAAGATTTTGGTTTTTAAAACTTTTGAAAAGTCGAAACAGAATTTTTTCCTGTGCTTTTATATTTTATGTGGATAGGTAATTACGATTAATTAAGCGTCGTTATATGTGTCGTTTGTAAATGTATGGATAACCGGTTAAGGTGAACCCGTTGGACCAAACCTCCCAAAATTGCATTTAACCGTTTCGTACCGTTTGGAACCCTCATATAACCTATTAGTACGGTTACAAATAAACAATTGTGGTATTTTTTGTAAACAAAAATGGTCGTATTTCGAGCAAATTCAAAACGATACTGAGCCAAAGGTGCCGAACGGTACAAAAGTCGTTTTTCCGAGTTGCAAAGTTCAACACAAGCAGACGTAATATACTTAAGTTATGTAACAAAAAGAACTAACTCTAAACAAAATGGATGCGTGGAAAAACCTGCAAGTCTCAAAACTTTTTTGGACCACTCTAACGCGGCTTTGCATTTGTTTATCGCTTCTATTCTACCAAGGATCGAAGGGAACGAGCGGTTTCACTGACATTAACTCAAAAATTTTGAGGTAGCAAAAAGGTCAGTAGTGTTATCCATAAAATCCTTAGATTCTTTCGTGTTTCGAGTGAACCCTTTGCTTTAGGATTCGACTGATTCATTCTACTTAGTACCCTGTTGACTCTCTGGTAATATTTATTTATGTTGAAAGCTAATATAAAATTTATGCATTTTTTGTTGACCCTTTCCACATTTCTTGTTCATGCTACCACAATGAGCCCAATTATATTGAAGAGTGATATAATTTATTCCTAAAAGAAACTGCCGAATCTGGCTAAACAAATTTCGTTCGGAGTCTCTCAGTTATTTGCATAAATAACCCACTCAAGTACAGTAAAATCTAATAGTTAGACGCAAAACAGCATTGGTATTTGATGGTTAACTTAGTATTATTAATTTAAAAACCCACCTGAGGCGTTATTTCACCAAAGAGTACGATGGCCAGTGTGGAAAATATAACAGCAAAAAGTCCAGACGTTAAACCATCCAGTAGAATGGTAAAGGTTGAGTTAACCAACACATTACCCAAGAGAATACTGCACAACAGATAATTACCTTGATCTCTGACGGGGGCTATTTTTGCTGCATATTTTTTTTCTTTTTCCGTGCCAGTGTTTCGCAGTATCTAATTAATGCACGCATATATATATAGGTAAAGGTAAGATAGATTTAGTTCAACGGTCGCGCTTATCACTAGTAGAGAGTGGCAGACCTTTAATTCGGTGCGGTCCATGGCCATCAAGCCCAAATTAAGCCCTGAGAACAAGGCGGAGAAGCATAGACAAACTAGGATGATCATTATTGCCAGCCAGATGGGTAAGAATGGTTCATGCGTTTCTATCTTCAGCCACTTGGAATTCCCCTGATGCTCAAGAGGTGTAGTGGTTACAGCTGTGCTGTGCTGTAAGTGAAAATTTACAATTATACTTAGATGGTCTTCAAAGGTTTCGAGGCACAACCCTGCACTCACATCTTTTGTATCCTCTGCGTTTTTAGCACAAATGTAATATATGCTACTGGCCGCTGGAAATTTAACCGAGTATGTGGCCGAAAAGCCATCGCTGGAGACTTCTAAGGGAGCAAAGAGGTCAGTGGCCGGCTTCAGACAGGGACCTCCGTAATCATTCTCCTCATTAGTGAATGTAATAAGAGTATTTTTCTGTAAACCATTGCCAAAAATTCGAAACTTGTGGTCTTTCTCAGTCAATACACTTGGTATGCCATCGTTCGTCTCGGTTGTACCGTCTTCCAATCGTATACCAAAAATTCGAATTGGGTTTACGGCCTCCCTCCGAATACGTATGCTAAAATAAACAAGTGCAAAAATAAATTTAAAAAAGTTACATTTTCATTTTCACGGTATCCAGTACGAGTATCTATGCATATTTTATTCTTCTTCATCACTCATCTCTCTTGGTGCTAATTTATCTTACCCATTGGGAGAAAATCGGCGCGTTCACAAGCACAACTTGATCGGGGATCATTGATGGATTTATTACGTTGGGAGTCGCAGCTAGGGCAGCGACTACATTTATACCCGATACTCAGTAAGTATGGCTCTACTCCGCCGGAGGAGAAGAGAGGGAATGAGAAGGCGCGTGGAAAGCGTCGCGCAGCCCCTGCGATTTCATTTTAGTTTTTTAGTTTTCTCGCATCTTTAAAATTGAGCGTGCCGCATATTTTCATCCTTTGCAGGGGCGGAAGGGGTGTTGAAAATTTTGAAATACACTTGTACAAGTGCGATATCACAGGAATCGGGATACAAAATGTGGCTGCTCTAGCTTTTATAGTCTCTGAGATCTAGGCGCTCATAATGACGGACAGACGGACAGACAGACAGACAGAAAGACAGACATGGCTCAACCGACTCGTCTATTGATGCTGATCGAGAATATAGAATACTTCATGGGGAGACGAATCATTGTGGGCGTTACACACATCCATTTTCCGCTCCAATCTAATATAAATATGAATAGTACATTTTTGCTTATTTAAAAGGTTTTCACATCAAAGTTCGTGAAATGAATATGCCAATCGGGACAAAAGTATATGGAAATCTGTCTCTATTGACTTCGGCTGTTTTTTCGCATGTAAAAAATTTTTACCTAAACGTCCTGAACAATGCTGCCACCCGTTTTAGTTCGAACTATAGAAAATGCAAGTTACAGACGTTCGATTAATTTTTGGCAAATGCTGACTAATACAGTTTTCATATAGTTGCCATAGGAAAGAATTAGATGTGACCGCAGCCTAACATTATGTTTTAGATATATAGATTAAACTGATCGTCGATTGCCTTTTTTCATCCCTATTTCGCGAAGTACGAAAATAATTTATTCCGTAGCTGCTGCGCCCCTTTATGAGGCAGCATTTCATTCGAGTACTGATCAAGGTATGACAATTAGTGAAGATAGAGATACGAAGTATGAAGTACTAACCTGCGTCATTACCCAAAAACTAAACTAAACTAAAAATGAACCTATCCTCAGCGTCACTATCAGATATCCCTTATCACTTTCAACGTAATCTCTTAGATGTACATACATATATAGGTATATACATACACATGTTAAAGCAAGAAGGAAAAGATTGATTTTCAGATCCACGTTTTTTGGGGCAGCTACTAATACGACTTTGTACAGCCGTCGCATGTGAATTGAATTGGTCTGAGCTACATACATATGTATGTACATACATATGAAGATATACATATGTACATACATATATGAAACAACATGCGGAATAATTACATTATATCCTCTCCAAGAATACACGAAATGTCCGTCCATCGGTTTGCCTGAGCTTGGGCTCTAGGAACCCCTGTATGTTCTAGTCTCTTGCAAGAGACTTTTTATCATTGGAAGAAACCATTCCACTTCATTTGTGTTGCTGGTGCGCTGTACTTATGTACGTGTATAAGCCTACATATGAACATCTGTATGTATGTACATGTATTCTCTCTCCTCGAAAGAAAAAGAATATGGGTGTGCAAACATAGCCATGGGCATACACAATCATGAATCAGCAGCAAGAGCATTGGCTAACACTGACAAAATCCAGATTTTTTCGGATACCACCGATACGAGTCCGAAATCAGAAAAATGACTCGAAGCGTTGAACAGTGGGACCTTCGGACTTTTCAGCTTGTAAAATCTTATCTACTGAGCAAGTAAAGAAATTTTCGTAAATTAAATTGTAGTATTAATTTAGTAAATTTCACGTTCTGAAAGTTGAACTTTGTTGCGAGTGCACATTTGCCTACTCGCGATTATCAATTTATATTTGGCTCGTATCGATACTGTAGGTTGAATGGTCAATTTCGGTATACAAATCTTGTACTAGATATACATTTGAAATTAATTTCCTCTAAAAAATAGGGTTTATCATTATTTGTTGTCTTATTATTAAAGTTGAGAGAATCATTAGTTTTCTGTAAAATAATTATAAAAATTGGAAAGAATATCTGGTAATTTTAATATTTCTAAAGAACATTTTTAAGCGATGAAGCTAAGGATCTGAAACAGCTACGAAAGTGTTGAAAACATCGTCGTTTTACCTTATTCGTGATATTTTGCACCTGTTCTTACATATATGCACTTTTCTTTTTTTAAAACTTCTTTCTCGTTTGCTGGGCTTCATTTTTCAATGGTGCGGCACTAATATTCAATTAAAACTTGACTATATGCCAAAATAATTATGCTTTCCTACAGTATATTTTTCTGATTTTTTTGATTTCAAGGTTTATTTACCGTTTGATTTGTGAGATGATTGATGGGGAATCATAATTCACCGTAATGGTTGTTCCATCCTTGATTTCAAGTAATTCCGACCTTATATCTGTAATATGATTCTTAAAATTATTCCCCACGCTTAAAAAATATATGTATGTTTGTACATGCGAGTATTGTTTGGGGAGACACGCTTTTCAGCTAAAATGCTTGTATTATAATTTGGCCATAATCTTAAGCGGAAGAAAGATCACTAAGAAGTTACAATTATTACAATTATTAACTTAGATGATAATATTTTTAGGACACATCCCGTGTCTTCGCCATTGGTATACGCAAGCAGCCCAAGCTGATCAAGAACGTACATATGTATGAAAGCATGTTGGTCACGCTGGCTGTGACGTACATTTAAACGAATCATGCATTTAAAGACGAAATGCTTTAGAGAGTTTGGTAAGTTGCTTAGAATATACAAAAAAAGTGTGTGTCAAGGAAGAAATATATTTATACATACATACACGTACATACATATGTATACAAATAGATGTTAAATAGGATATTCCAGAATATGGTCAGAAGTAAGCAACGCAGAGAAGAAATCTTATCAGAGTCCTACAGTACACATTTGTATACACATCGTATATACTTGTTAAGTCTTGAGCTCCTATCGGAACTGGTGTCCATTTTTAAAGTAAATTTAATGTGTAAATACATGCATAACTCAGATAATTAGAATCTAATTCTTACCACTATATTTTGTAGCTGCCATAGCAGAGCGATCGTCCTTGGAAGAGGAACTTATTTAATTCTTAATCTAATTCGACCTACTTTTGGAAAACAACACTTTATTTACATATATTCGGAAGATGTGAGCAAAAAAACCTAAACAGCTGTAGTTGAAAGTGCTTTTCCATAGTTTTTTCTTTTTCGATTGTACTTGGCACACACAAAATATTGAGCAACAGCTGAGCCCTTACTTGTTCTCAAATGGAACTGTAAACTGTTACATACTAAATAATACGGCCACATACATATGTACATAAGTGTATGTGTATATTTAAAAAATTATGACCAAAACCTTGGACGGATCATACGAATACGTAATATAAAAGTAGCTATTTTTGGTTACGAGAACATTATGTAGCGTTCGATAATTGAAAATTAATTTTTTTAAAGTAGTTTTATCCTAAAGAACGTTCTTGTAAACTTGCTGAAAACGCTACCCAGAAAATCATTCCGACCTGTTATTATGTCAGCAGAGCAAAGAAAAATCCTGATAAATATGTTCTATATACATACCTATGTGCATATGTATATACATATGCACATATAAGCCCTATGACAGAAAGCGAAATCGAAGCAAGAGCCAGGGCTATTCATTATGTTTACTTAATGATATGAGCATACGCCGACAAACATATGTATGTAGGTACTATGTGCATGCAGGCATATTTATGTACATATGTATTTGTCGAATTGAATGCACATACAGACATTTTAGTTATCACTATTCTTGCGCGAGAACTTGCCTTGCTTGATTTTGTGATGACGACACCGACATCCATCTTAAGTCAACACTTTTACTGTTTTCTAGGGTTTGGTAGGGTATTTTTGAAGGCTCAGCACTAGCACTGTCACCTTTTGATACGGAACAGAGGCCCACATTTGCACCATTAGCAAAAACGAGAATAGTAATTAGGACCGCGAAATGTGTGCTTTTCATTTTTAACGAACTAAGCAGCAAGCATTCTTGACCGATTGATTTTTCATTTTTCACACGCGACCTCAAGCTTAGAGCCTTTTGGAAAACGAAATTTAAGAGCCTTAAATTTGTTACCAGAATGCTAAAGTTGTTTTTAACTTTACATTCCTCTGTCCATTTAGTCCGTTTTTGAAATGTATGTTTACTTTTTTCCATACTACGTAATTTATACCGAAACGACAATCCCAAACAAAGTATATCGATATGTTAATATATATTTTATATATATATCTATATATATTTATAGGTGATCTTTTTTCCGAAAATATTTTCTAATAATTAACGGAACGAGCTTCTTTTCCCCAAGAAAAGCGAGAAATATTGTTGGGGCAGCAGCAGCAGGCGGATTTATTGATATATATACGGTCTGACCCTTGGAAAAATACCAAAATATACCGATTAAGAGAGAACTTAACCCACTTAACCTCCCTGCATCTAAACAGGTAAACAACTTGCGTTAAAGCGCGGAAAATAATACATATATCTAATTCTTCTTTTAGACGCATCCTACCCCTTCTCTTTATTTTTAAAAAAATTTACCACACTATCTGCGCTAAACTTCATCAATTTTTATAATTTTCGTGGTGTGTATTTTGTGTGTATACTATTCTACAATGGGTTAATCGTGATTTCCATGATTGGAAATCATATTCTTCGATTTTGATTTTTGGCTTAATATTACTAGCTAGCTGGAACCTTCAGCTTTGAACACATCGTTTTCTCTGATTGATGAATAAATTTTCTACGAGACTGACTAATTTTAAGAACTCTTCTTCATTGGTTTGCATGTAAGTAAGGTTTAGGCAAAGGTCAATCGAAAATAAAAGCATGTAAAGCACGTAAATGGTATGAACTGTTACGTAATTTGAACACTTGTTGCTTGTCAATAGGTGGTATGGACATTTTTATACCCTATTTCTTTACATTAATATTAAAAGTCCTTCTTCCAGACAACGTTCACGCTCGTTTTTATATTATTACTTTGCAGCTATTAAACACAAAAAAAAATACACAAGTTGAAGTGGAGTATATCCCATTATAAAGATTTCGAATTACAACATTGCTGATACTCCGCAAATTCAAGCACCAAGACTTTTAAGGGCGTCCAAAAAGTAACGTTCTAGTTCTATAGTTCTGATATGTTTAGTTTTATTATAGCCGATTCCATCGCCAATTTATTTATTTCAAATTGTGAAATTTCACAATTCAGACCAAAACCTTGTTATTGCTATTGTCATCAGCTGGTTTTTCTTTTATACTTGTAAGAGTTCTTCCGTGGTGCCAAATTCTTCAAAAACTTTCATAATACTCTAAAAATGCAGATGTAATGGGTATGTGAGCTAAATATAAAGCTAAGCTAAATTTTTTTGTCGACAAAATTGTTCATATATTTCACTCGGGGCATAGTGTGACCGAGTGCACATACTCTACGGTTACACTGTTTGTGTTTGTTTATAGCGTTATGACATTGGACTTTCCCAAATTTTCTGCGAAGAAAGAGATAGCATAATGTTTGTGATTAAGTCACGTCTAGGTCTAGGTCTAGGTCACGTTTCAATAGCCATTTCGATGATCAAATCGTTTTCTTTTTTTCTGCTATTCTGCTATTGCAACATGTGACACGCACTTATATTATTATTTTGTTATACTAACAATGCTATACTTAGAATTTTTCGTCTGTTTACATCTCATGTGCTGACAATTGTGATAGTGAATTTCATATTCACCAAACCAACAAAATTGGTTCTGAAAATTGAAACAATTATTGGAAAAACATTTGTAACATACAAACATATTTGTAACGACATTATACAAAAATAATGTGCCATATGTTTTCTGACAATATTAAAGAAATACCCTAAATATTTACATACTTATTTGGTTGTGCTGGTCACTCATGACCTCCCCCTCTAAAAATATTGTCGAATTTATTTATGAATGCACCGAAACGATAAATATCACACTATATATCGATATATTGATGTATAATATATATACTCCACTATTTCTTTGTACCATTCAGAATTAAAAATTTATTTAAATGGATAACTCCGACGATCTACCGCCAATCGACATCGTTACATATATAACAGATGAGTTACAGCAAACATACCGCAACACCAATGGAGAGAAAGAAAAAGTGAAAGTACTTATTGACTATCTTGAGCGATGGGACGACGACAACTCCATTGCTAAGCTAAAGTCTACAAACATTGAATTTGAATCAGGTGAGTTTGAATGAAATCATAATTTTGTATAAATATTTATTTAATATGGTCTTAGATTTGGATTGGTTTAACGTCAGTCAACCTTTATCTCTAGAAGGTCTGCGCGGAAAAGTTGTCGTTCTAGACTTCTTTACCTATTGTTGCATAAACTGCATGCACGTATTACCAGAGCTGCATAGTCTAGAAGAGCGATTTCCCATTGAAAGCGGACTTGTAGTTATCGGTGTACACAGTCCGAAATTTGAGAACGAGCGCACTACTGCAAACATACTGTCTGCTGTAGATCGATATGGAATCACGCATCCCATTGTAAACGATTCCCGTTCCGCTTTGTGGCGTGCTCTTGGTGTACGCTGCTGGCCATCAATAATGGTGTTGAGTCCGACTGGTTTGCCCATGTTGTTACTTATGGGTGAAGGACATGGGATATTCATGCAGGAGTTTATTGGTGCCGCGTTATCTTTCTTTAGCCGACAGGAAAAAATAAACTTAGGCAGTCTACCTATGAAGCTATCAAGTCATTTGCATCCGACGTCTAGTTTGCGTTTTCCCGCTAAAATTGCTCGAAGTTCGTTAGGTCGCTACGCAATAGCTGACGCTGGTAACAATCGGGTACTTGTGGTGTCTGCTGATGGTGTCGTAGAACATAAGATCGGAGGTCTTCAGGCTGGCTTCGTTGATGGTAAATTGGCTCTATCACGTTTTAATAGTCCTCAGGGCGTGGCATTTCTTAATGAGAGCACGCTAATTGTTGCCGATACCGAAAATCACGCACTCCGAAAAATATCGCTAGAAAATGAATTAGTAGAAACCCTTGCTGGTACAGGACATCAAGGAAACGAACGGATTGGTGGTCGTGTAGGGCCGTTGCAGGCTTTATCTTCGCCTTGGGATTTGGCTGTATTTCGCACACGTGATATGGATATGTCTTTTCATCTTGACGAGCGTAATGTGCCTGAAAAAACTATTATACTTATCTCAATGGCCGGAACCCACCAGATTTGGGGATACTTTCCAGAAGGTATTATATGGTGGAAATTTCGCAAGTTCGAACCACTTTGCTGTGTGTCGTTAATCGGCAACGGTCTGGAGGAAAATCGTAACAACTCATATCCACAGAACGCTGCATTTGCGCAGCCCTCTGGCCTGGCCATGTCAAAGGATTTTCTCTTTATAGCTGACAGCGAAAGCTCTAGCATACGAAAGGCATCCATGATTGATGGAAAAGTGATGCCAGTAGTTGGAGGGGATCGCAACCCCCTGGTAAGTTGTATTATTAAGAAACGACCATTAAAAACACGTACATATTTAAAATTTTCAGAACCTTTTTGCGTTCGGCGATGTCGATGGCAAGCTTTTTAATGCAAAACTTCAACATCCGCTTGGAGTTACACATAGTGATGCGGACAACAAGGTGTATGTGGCTGACACATATAATCATAAAATTAAAGTTATTGACACGGAGACGAACTGTGTTTCGACGTTGGCTATAAAGAGTCAAGGAGGCACGCCTTTGATTTTCAACGAGCCAGCTGGACTATGCTTGGACGCAGAAGGGAGGAATTTGTTGGTTTCAGATACTAATAATCACGCCATACAAATAATTGATTTGTTAACTTTAAAAGCCCGACCATTTTTACTAGATTTTAACAAAGTTGATTGTGCTAGTGAAACAGATGCTCCGCAACTTCTGCCAAAGAATGGCGAACCACATATGCTTAGTGCGTTGCCTTTGCATTGTAGTAGAAAGAGCACGATTAACTTTAACATTCGACTTTCACCACAGCTTAAGTTTACAGAAGAAGCTCCACAAAAATGGACGATAAGAACGTTGAATAGTGCACTGGAGGTAAATCAAAAATCTGGATGCCTGAAAAATGGAATGTGTAACTTGCAGGCACAAGTTTTGAAAAATGATTTTAGCAGCGAAAACAACCCTATATTTACTATTGAATTTGCATTGAATCTGTGCGACACAAAGTGCTGCCTTATGAAAAGGTTCTTAATTGCTGTAAATTGCGAGCCCAATGTGGAAGAGTACATAGCAAGCCATGATGTAAATATTCAAGTCGATCATTCAATTATAAGCACATGACAAAACTAAAGGAGCTTTAATCACATATATATATATTTTTATATGTACAATTATTTTTATTGAAATTGTGTATTTACATATTTTTATGTTTTGTTAGAATTAAAAGTTGGTTAAAATGATAATCTTTGTAGTCTCTTAAGCATAGAATATGCTGTATTTTGTGCTGGAAACAATTGCCCTACACAGTGTTTTTGCATATTTGTTTAGCTTGATCTGTGTCACCGGCAGCTTTACACACTTCAAAAAGCAAGTTTTTTAAAATAGATGCCTGTCTACCCTGGTAGCCATCTATTGTTATAGTTGGAATAAATGTTACTTGTGGCCTGAGGGAATGTGTGGCTTCTCCATTCTGTTTCAGCAGCTCTGATCCATGCTTACTGTCATAACATTTTTGTACGAGATCAACGTGCTGTTTCGCGCACTGGAAGAGATAAATTGGTTTCCACCAATGGAATATTTTAGTTTTTTCCTGTTATCTAATAACTTTTATGGGCTATTTCCAAAATCAATGGTTATACTATGTTTTTATGGTCCTATCCTACACAATATAATATTTTGAGGAGCATCACGCCATAATTACCTTGCGCATTGCCTCTTGAGGGGAACGATTGTCTCGAATCATACAGGATACAACCTGTAACCGAACTAGCGGATCTTCAATTGCTTCAGACGCACACGCGTGATATATATTTGCCTGACATTCTGTAGGACCATGTTGACAATCAAAACTTAATTTGCCATCGTTTTCACTTGTTGTCGCCTTGCCGTAAGGAACAAGTAGCACCTCCATTATTGGTGCAGCAGCCTCGTATGCTGGAAGTAGCTGTTTTGTAAGGAAGTACTTTGAGTCTGGGCATAATGCCTCATAGAAAACCTTAACTAGCACGGGCGCTCCAATGGTCCGTTGATAATTTTCCTGGTCCTGCACAGAATGGAAATTAAGTCAGTAGTAATAAAAAAAACAAAACGTTTACATGTGTACTTACCGATAATGTTGGCAGGGGAGAATTAATAAGTAAAATTCGTAGCAAACAGCCGAGTATGACGACTACGCAAATAATTATCCCTATACGTTTACGTGTCGGAACCATTTGAGAAACTCATGTGCGGTTTAATGTGTGCATGTAGTTCAATTGGTATGAATCGGCGGTGGAAAAAGCTAAAAAGTAAAATATCGAAAAAGTAACATGTACATTACACTGATTATATATATTATATATTGTATCATGCATATTATTTATTTATTTATATTTACTATTTTATTGTACTTAGTTGCACACTATTGTACACACGAAGGTTGTTTCTCAGCTGATTTGTAGCCCGATAACTGAAATCCGAAATCGATAAAAGTTATTTTCTCAGCTGATTTTTAGCTCGATACACAAATTGAAAAATTCATAAAAAGGACTTATTTAGCCGGGCTCATCTTAATTGCAAAAAATTGCCAGAGCAATTTAGCTTGTGTCTTCTCTAAAAAATGGTTCTTAACACAAGCTCAAATTTGGCTCGGAAATAACTGGTCCGGGCAACAATATTTTTCGTTTTCTTGCAGACAGCTGACCCAGCCTTATTTGGCTATCAGAACATTGGCAAGAAAAAAAATGTTTACGCGTAACAGAACATCGGAACAACAGAACCTGTTTCCCGACACATTTTTCAAAATGTTGGTGCAAAAAATTTGACCATTAGCAATTGAATTTTCAATATGCATGCTGTTACTCTCAGCTCGTCAGGTGTTGCATCTAAGATATCTTAATCTTCTTAAATCGCGTACTTTCTGTCGTCATTTTGCTTTAAGAAAAGAAATTGAAAAAAAGTCCTTTTTATCACGCTGCATATTTTCGAAGAAGCCAGGTCAGATACGTAGATGAGAAAATAAAATATGTATATTGATACAAAAATTGTGAAAACGGGAGCACCGAAAACGAAACTTTTTTTATTTTACGACTAGATAAATAGTATGTATTTTATAATAAATGATCACAGACAAAAAAAAAATAAAATTATGTGTACCTTTACTTTTGAAGTAACTTATTAAGAAGTCTAGGGAAAAATTCAGTTACAAAGATTTTTAAAAATAAAATGCGGGGCAAACGAAACGTTTTGGATAAAAATGTATATTAATATATTAATAATATATAAAAAATAAAATCTCACGTACCCGTAGTCACCGTTTTCACATATAGGTAGTTGTGCATTCTCATAGCTCGGAACTCTTTTCCTCGATTTAGAGCAAAACCATAACGGGTCATAAAATGTACTCATATTCTGATGTCGTCTATGATATCAGCTACAATGACTCGTGCTCTAGATCCGTTTTCAAATCTCGAGTCCATTATTTTCTCAGGGTAGTCTTTCATTTCCCGGAATCTGGCACCGTTTTGTCGATCATTGCATTGTCTCATCATATATTCTGTTTTAGTTCAGATGAAGCTTGAATACTCTATGTCCCTCGTTTCTTGACAATCGATCATTCACCTCAGTTCGTAGCATATGCGCTTTCGGTGATGAACAGCATATTAAGAGTGATGCCTCACAAGTCAACACCTGACTGGCTGCAACGCTACAGGGCACGCTTAACAGCCTCTTTATTCAGTTTATCTGCGTCGGGAATCACCAAGGCAGCCGCGCGGTCAGATTTAGTCCAATTATTCTTATACGCTGACATTTTGAATTGAACTGCTTGAGTTTTCCTGGAGTTTCTTGTCAAAGTTGGCCCATTTATCTTCCATCTGTTTTGCGATAGCTTCTAGTCTTTGTAAATTGGCTGCCCTTTGATCCTTTACCTGATCCTTTAGGTGCAATATCATCTGTTCCTGTTGGTCACCTTGACCCTTCATCTGCAGCATCATCTGATGCAACATCGCCATCATCTGCCCATTGTCCGATGCCGGCTGGTTCTCCTCCACTGTCGACCTGGAGCCTCATCCAAGAACTTGTAATTTTCAACACTGAGTCCTGTTCTCTCCATTGCAACTTTCAACCGCATCTGTAATTCGGCTTTCAAACGGTAAGCTCCGCTCTGCCAATACTTTCTTTAACTGATCCATTTTTGAACACTCCGCACATCTGACGCCTTTTGTTACGTTCCTACGGTTCTTATTCCGGATGCAGAACGGAGACAAAGTTATTTTCTACTTAAACAGGGAAACTTTATTTCAAAAGAATTTTTCGTTTCAAACAGCCAAGACTAACTATTTTTAATCAATCTGGCATGACGACCCTACAGTCAGCCTACTTAATCTGCCCATTAGTTACAACATATTATATTATTATTAGTGAAGATCCTATACATAGACACGTCTCATTTCCTTGTGACCATCCGTAATTTTTTTAAAAGATCTATAAGCATTTTTTTTTTATTGAAAATAAAAAAATATAACGTTACAATTTTAACATTCAAAAAATTCTATAGTTTGTTTTACTAATTATTTACTTATTAATTATAAACTCTTATGAAACACTTTTCAACTTAACTAATGTCGTTGAAAAACTCTTTTTCGTTTTTCATATAATTCACTTCGTCAAAGCATACAATGGAGACTGAAGCCAGAGTTTGACGTTCAAACTGTCAGTCAGACTCATTAATAACTTTTTTCCGTTTCTTTGCAGCCTGTGTAGTTTTCTGTTTCGACCAATCCTCCTAAAAGTATTAGTTTTTAAATGTTACAGTGTTCCATATCAAATTTTCCATACCTCGCTCGAGTTTTCATCGGATGAGTATATAGTTTTAATGATCTCCGAATTTTTTTTATTTCCTGCGCTGTGATTATTTGCGTCCTTTTTACTAACTGGTTGCTTACGTCCTCGACCGCTCCCGCCACGGCGGCCAACGGCAGTGGTTTCGTCTTCCGCTGCCAATGCGAAAAGATCGCTGAATTGTTTCTATAGGATTATATTGTATTATATGAACCAGATTACAAATATGTACTGAGTACTTGCCTTTGTGCTTTCATTACTATGAGAATATGCCGATTGCAAAGCCCGCTGCATCATGTCATGAACATATAGCCCGGTACCTGTGCCGTGCCTGCAACTTCTTCTATAATGCTCTAAATGGTTTAATACCTATTAAAGCACAAATTTTAAAAAGAGTAATTAGTAAATCCTGATTCTATGTAATAAACCTACTTGATCAGCGGAGGGAGTACTGCTGGCAACGGAACTACCTTTAGATGGTCGTTTTCTTTTGTTAGGCGATGAGCTAGGATATTTTGATGTTAGCAAAGATGCAATGATTTCAGACAGCTTTTCTTCGTACCGCTGACACCAAAACCTATCAACAAAATAGTTTCATATTAATATATTACTGAAATGTAGGCAAATGTATACGTTTACCTTAACGCCGAAGTGACAAAGGGATCTCCCCGTGATTTAGCTTCCCTGCTTAGCATAAGTCGAATTATTTCATTCGTCGGCTCTTCGTTTTTTAAAAGTAAGAGAAAATGACTTAGTGCTTCCGGATGATTTGCCGCTTCTAATTCTGGCAATAGGTCCTAAAAAGTTTGAAATTATTAGCGTGACGAGCGGAAACATTGTGAACTTCTACTTTTATACCCGGTACTCAGTCGGTATAATATGAGTTAATAAGGTACACCGGGTATAAAAATAGAATAGTTGAGATCATAACTACTGCTTACCTGAATAGTCTTTAAGGGTACATCATGTGCTTGAACGAGCTGCCACAGACAGAATTGTTCGTATGTCTCATAATCTAAACTCTCTCTAATACAATCAATCAGCCCATCTTGTTTAAATATGGTGAGCTTGCCTTGCGCGACTGAGTATATTATGTCACGAACATTTTTTGCATCTATGCATCGCAGGGTAATCCGCAATAGCTCAGTGTTATTGGTGGCGATTGACTTAAACTCTCGATAGATGTCAGGCAAGAGCCATAAGTAAATGGTTGTATTTTCCTTCTCAAGCAGGTCGAGGTCTCTGACCAGGCAGTTGCCAATCTTGTCATCAGCCGCATCGCATATTTGTCGATATACGGTCGTTTTGAACTGATATGACAGTTGTGAATTTTTGCGGGTTTGCAACTTACAGTGAATCTTCATAAAATAGAGAAACAAAAATCCTGTTTCAGGTATTCGCTCACATATCTCAGATAGCATTGTTTGAAATGGTTTTTTGCTTTTCTCATCGTTTTCGTAAAGAAAACGAAACAGACCGTAAATGGGATAGCTAATGCTCTTTGCCAAAAACTTCTCATCAGTCTTGCTCTCCGAGAATATATTTTGCTGGGGTAAGGTTTCGCGAAGAATTAAAACGGTATTCGAGATCACATAACTAAGCTGAAACTCCTCAAAGGCAGAAGCAGGTAAGGAACGAAAATCTTTTAAAAATGCCTCAAAAGTAAATGAGTTCCGTTTTGTAATAAAAGTTTCAAATGATTCGGCAATTGCTTCGGCTAGCTCAACCTTTGGCTTTTCTTTAAGTCTGACCTGAAAAGGAAAACTAATTAAATTATTGTTTTTTTTTTTGTAGTCTGTCGCAATCTGACTTTTGAAAGTGGCAAGTCGTCGTCGTCATCGGTATTTTCATCGTTTTTATTATTCCTTCCTAAGCTCTCAACGTCTTGGTCCCTGAAAATGCCTTCAATTTCTCGCTCTGATGGCGGCATAGCCGTTTTGTTGTCCTCATCTACTAGCGATACGATAGATCCACTGTTAGTAGAAAACACAGTTCCAGCGATATCATAATTTTCTGAAGAAATAAAAATGATTATGATACGACTTTAAACGATATATACTATGGAATACGAACACTGACCCCCATGCATCATTTGAAAATCTTTTTTAAAAATTTGACTCTGAATAGGATGTGGCGTTGGATAAATGGGCTGAGATAGGTTTGGAAAAGACGACACAAATTCCCTGAAGTTTTCTCGTATTAAATTGCGAAGTTCTCTGTCAAGTTTTGGCGATTCAAATAGCGGTTGTAGGTTTGGTATTACCTGTAAATAATAATTATTAAGTATTTAAACGGCTAAGAAATATATATTTACACCAAACCTGTTTGTCAAGTATAAGTTTTAATGAATTGTATACGCCCATTCGAATTTTATCCTCATGCTTCACATAAAAGTTCTTTGTAATGCGACACAGAAAATCTAAAAGCGTACTGCTGACAAATGGATGATTTCTAATGGAG